AAATTAATTCAGCTAATAACTTTTTTATTTTTTGTATTTAAAGACAATTTCTTTAGTTGTTTTTTTCTCAATTATTAAATATAAATACAAAAGGAATTATTATAGTGCATACGCTTTACGCATCTTCTTCTCCCCTTGTTCCCTGAGTTCTTACCATCTCTGTTTTTCACTCTTTCTTTGTAACAATCTTCCTCTTTTCCTCTTCAACAACATCTTCCCTGTCTGCTGCCACTAAACCTTTGTATTCTATTTTCAAATCTCCTATTCCTTCCTATTCTCCATCACTCTCCTCCTAGTATATCCTTAAAAACTAAGTTTTTAAAATGTAATTTGGAAAAAGAAAAGTCCAAAGTGGTAGCGCATGTAACATACCACACGTATATTATATTGTAGTGATATATTTTAATATATTTCTAATGGCATTGATATTACTAATCTTTCGCGGACTATATATGTACATCTATACTTTGTATACTGTATCATTATTGCATTGTATCATATTGTATTTGTTGAATAAATTATCTTGTAACACTTATACACGTTGATATTATTTTGAGTTCTTACCATCTCTGTTTTTCACTCTTTCTTTGTAACAATCTTCCTCTTTTCCTCTTCAACAACATCTTCCCTGTCTGCTGCCACTAAACCTTTGTATTCTATTTTCAAATCTCCTATTCCTTCCTATTCTCCATCACTCTCCTCCTAGTATATCCTTAAAAACTAAGTTTTTAAAATGTAATTTGGAAAAAGAAAAGTCCAAAGTGGTAGCGCATGTAACATACCACACGTATATTATATTGTAGTGATATATTTTAATATATTTCTAATGGCATTGATATTACTAATCTTTCGCGGACTATATATGTACATCTATACTTTGTATACTGTATCATTATTGCATTGTATCATATTGTATTTGTTGAATAAATTATCTTGTAACACTTATACACGTTGATATTATTTTGCCCTATACGAATATCCCAGAGTACGAGTGAGTTCTGTCTCTCTCTTACTCTCCTCCGTTCCAAGTGCATCCTTCACCTACTCCTAATATAGTTTGAAATTCAATTCTCGAAATTGCATCTCTGGGAGGCTGTATCTCGAAAACCGCTGGGTTTAGGGCTTTTTCCTTGAAATTTTGAAAGATCTCTTAATGCAGAAAGTCAGAATACTCCATAGAAGAGGCTGGTACAGGTTAAATTGCGATAGGGCGACTTTCAAAAAATTCCTTTACATTTTGGTACTCGCAGACTTTTTTTTGAATTTTGCAATTATCAAGCATTCATATTAAAGAATTCGCATTAGTTCGAATTTTCACCGATAAGAGGGCAGCACCTCCTGGGCATGATATGTGGCGCCATCTCTGAGAGAACGAGTGAACTTTCTCAGATAAAATAATTCCGAATTCAATTTAAAAATCCCATCGTCGAAATTTGAATGGATAAATCTTATTAAATAATTTGCATTAGTTCGAATTTTCACCGATAAGAGGGCAGCACCTCCTGGGCATGATATGTGGCGCCATCTCTGAGAGAACGAGTGAACTTTCTCAGATAAAATAATTCCGAATTCAATTTAAAAATCCCATCGTCGAAATTTGAATGGATAAATCTTATTAAATAATTTGCATTAGTTCGAATTTTCACCGATAAGAGGGCAGCACCTCCTGGGCATGATATGTGGCGCCATCTCTAAGAGAACGAGTGAACTTTCTCTAATAAAATAATTCCGAAAGTAATTCGAAATTCAGCTGTATCACGCTGGTACAGATAAAACTGCGATAGGGCACTTTCAAAAAATCCCTTTACTTTTTGCAACTTGCAGATTAAGAGGGCAGCACCTCCTGGGCATGATATGTGGCGCCATCTCTGAGAGAACGAGTGAACTTTCTCGGATAAAATAATTCCGAATTCAATTTAAAAATCCCATCGTCGAAATTTCAATGGATAAATCTTATTAAAGAATTCGCATTAGTTCGAATTTTCACCGGTAAGAGGGCAGCACCTCCTGGGCATGCTATGTGGCGCCATCTCTGAGAGAATGAGTGAACTTTCTCCAATAAGATAATTCGGAAAGTAATTCGAAAATCAGCTTTATCACGCTGTTACAGATAAAACTGCGATAGGGCATTTTCAAAAAATCCCTTTACTTTTTGCAACATGCAGATGGAATGAAAGTAATGGCAGAGAAAATGCAGCATAGCCGAAAAGGGATATATAAGGATAAGGTTGGAGGAGAAGGATGCTGTTAGGACGAAGGAGTGTAAGAAAGAGACAGAACTCATTCGTACTCTGGGATATTCGCATAGGGTAAAAGAATATCAACGTGTATAGGAGAAGGAGAAGGATGCTGTTAGGACGGAGGAGTGTAAGAGAGAGTCAGAACTCATTCTTACTCTGGGATATTCGCAGAAGGTAAAAGAATAACAACCTGTATATGTGTTACAAGATAATTTATTGAACAAATGCAACAATGATACAGTATACGAAGTACAGATGTACGTACATATATAGTATATGGCTTGCAAAAGATTAACAATAACAGTACCATTAGAGACGTACTACATATATCACTACAATATAATATACGCGTGGTATGTTACATGCGCTACCACTTTGGACTTTTCTTTTTCAAGGATGCTGTTAGGACGGAGGAGTGTAAGAGAGAGTCAGAACTCATTCTTACTCTGGGATATTCGCAGAAGGTAAAAGAATAACAACCTGTATATGTGTTACAAGATAATTTATTGAACAAATGCAACAATGATACAGTATACGAAGTACAGATGTACGTACATATATAGTATATGGCTTGCAAAAGATTAACAATAACAGTACCATTAGAGACGTACTACATATATCACTACAATATAATATACGTGTTGTACGTTATATGCACTACGACTTTAATTTTTCCTTTTTCCAAAGGACATTTTAAAAACTTAGTTTTTAAGGATATACTAGGAGGAGAGTGATGGAGAATAGGAAGGAATAGGAGATTTGAAAATAGAATACAAAGGGTTGGTGGCAGCAGACAGGAAAGATGTTGTTGAAGGGGAAAAGAGGAAGATTGTTACAAAGAAAGAGTGAAGAAGAGTGATGGTTCTGACTGAGGGAACAAGGGGAGAAGAAGATGCGTAAAGCGTATGCACGAAGACCAGATTATTCTGGAGGAGCGAGAAAAGAGAATAGTGGGAAAAGTAGGAAAAGTTGGAAGTAGAAGGGAGCGAAATGGGCCCCTCCACGCCCATTTCCGTGAGGTCCTGCCTCTCCTGAAGGGAGCTACGACCCCTCCAAGGCCCCATAGGGGACCGAGTTTTTTTTTTATTGAGAAAAACCCCCGAGTCTTGCGGCTGTCGCGCACAGAAAGGAATTAATATTAATAACACTATAAGAACTATATAAGACGAGAATTGCTAAGACATTCCAGAAGTATCAAACTTTAACCTCTTAGTCTAGTACTCAATTACTACATAAGAACATATTTACACTAAATGTTACTCTCCAAATTTTACTTCTTATATCACGTCATTCCAAATGTATTGTTGAAAAATTGGAAACTGATTTTCACGCAATTAGAATTCCGGATGTCCGTGAAGTAACCAACTCCCCCTAGCCATAAAAGATATGATATCAGGATAATAAATAAATACATTAATTATCCTCGATGGCTGTACTAGGTTTTTTCTCCCAAGTTAATTTATTCAAGTTCAAGTTACTGAGAAACTATTGGTTAATTAAATGCAAATGCCTGAAAGACTTTATCTTAACGTAGACAAATAATTCTTAATGTTTATGCTAAGTATCGCGTCACGTAAAGATCGGTTTTGTCCGTTAAAGTACAAAGCCCAAATATGGGAAAAACTACAAGAGTGGTTGTTTGTGGAATGAAAGGAGTTGGAAAAACTGCACTGTTAGAGCAGCTTATATATGGAAACGTCAACTCGACTACCGTAAGTGTGAGAGGTTATGGTATACTGATATCAGGTAATATGTAGGTTATCATTAGTAAATATTGTAATCAGTAATTGACATTATCTGATCAGGAAATTCATCCAACAATTGAAGATATATACGTGGCTAACATTGAAACTGATCGTGGTACTAAGGAAAAAGTTCGATTTTATGATACTGCTGGATTAGAACCACTACAGAGCAACACAAATAATCAACAATTAGCAAGGCATTATTTAGGCTTTGCAGATGGTTATGTACTGGTTTATGATACAGCCAAGCCTGAATCTCTTGATGTCTTATTTCCATTGAAAAAAGATATTGATAAAAATAAAGATAAAAAGGAGATAGTGGTCATTGTCATTGGTAACAGAACAAAGACCGATACGGAACTTTACAATTTGGAGAACACTGCCAGTAAAGCAGCAAATTGGTGTACAAGAGAAAAACTTCGCCATTATGAAGTTAATGTGATGGATAGGCCAAGCTTGTACGAGGCATTCATTCATCTTTCATCCAGATTAAATCCACCTCCAAATAAAAGCACATTCCCCCAATTAAGCATGGGTAGAAAGACTGCAAAACCAGAGGCAACATGAAAGCGCAGATATAATCACATTCGAAAAGCTATTTCTGCTCTTAATAACTTCATGCTCTCAAGCAATTTATAGGTTTAAGCCTTTGACAATATTGTTGTAATTTCCAATATTTGACAATTGGTAGCATTTAACGTTCTCTGATATTATTTATATTTAAGTTTTTAATATGGACTTGAGAAAATTATTAATATGCACCTTTAAATCAAATATCTCTAGCACAGACTATATATTCTGTGCCTCGCTAGATGGAATTCTATATAAATCTATTACATTATGTACTTAAATGATCCTGTGGTCTAATACGCAATTTATTGGTACAAAATGGTACAGAGTGCAATCAAATAATTTTAAACATCTAAAAATCTCTGGCACTTTTTGAATTTAGTTTGCTTTTACGTACAAGCAGTAACATTTTTATTACTTGTACACCTTCCTTATTCGTACTTAAAAATTTCGCATCAGCGAAAGTAAATTATTAAGCCAATAATTAATTATTAATTCTCGACGATAGAATCGATCTGGCGCGACACCACTGTGTAATTATAATATATGCGTGTCGCATTGTTATTTATTCAAAATTCATCAGAGAGAACAAATGTAGCGCGATTTTCAGTATGTATCTGATACAATAAAGTGATATAATTTATTATAATTCTTAGGCTACCATTCGATAGCTCTTATTAATTGCCTCAATGTTATGAGTGTTCCGAATACGTAATCCCACAGTTTGCTGCTTATACCAAAACCTGAAAATTTAGAATATACTTAAAACTTGTATCAGTCACAGTATTGTATCTTCCTAATTACCTTCTTGATGATGCGAGAAGTGATGATAATTATGATATCTCTTCATCACATACAAATAAGTTTCAGCTTTTGGCGCACCGTAGTGCAAATAATAATGTATTAAATCATAACATAAATATCCTGAAACATATGAGCTATTAATATTATATTTTTGTATCACTCTGAAATGAAGAAGATACGGATGTTATCTTTTTACAAACCTATCATTGTTCCCGAGATTACAAAATTAATCATTACTGGAGGAAACAGTAATTTGTAAAGATTAAGGAGAATTGTCGCAGCAGCTATGGCGGGAACTGGTGGAAACAAGAGTCTCTGTGCGTCAAAGGGTGCCTGAAAATAAAACTGTTAAGAAATTTGTGAAAGATAAATTAATCACTATTGTGTAAGTGTCTTATATGATTATTCGAATAAAAGACTTATGTGTGAGTCATAGGCTTTACCCGATGTCTAAGCCTTTATCACTGATAGTCAACAAAATTATCTTGGTTGTTAATAATCATAATAGTAAGCATCCATCGGCACTATATCTATTCAACCCTGTAAGTATTATAAGCATTAACAAAGTAATATCACAATACCTTGTGATGTAAACCATGTAAAAGAAAATGAAGAGTAATAAGAGTTGTCGAATCTGGCGGTGGTTTCATATGGAATAATTTACGGTGCAGACTGTACTCCAAAAATGTCCATAGTAACAGACCCCACGCAAATGCAATAATTATTTGCGGCATGGAATTCACTGCAACAAATATAACGAGTGCGTTAAGTGATTGATCTTATAAAAATGAAATAAAAATCGATATATTACTCAAGGACCTACCAACACTGTCAGAAATGTCTGTCGTGCATCCTATATAAAAGAAATACAGAGAAATCGGTATCCAGATAATCGGTACCAGATACCAGGGTGTGATAGTCAGCAATTCCAGGAAATTTGATTTGAAGAGCCGAATCGGCCGATTTACAGGAAGGTTCACCCATTCCCAGTATCTGTTTTTTAAAGAGCTTACTTGCCAAAGGATAGGTTTGTTCCAGTTAATGAGTTTCTGAAAAAGAAAAGAAAAAAATGGAAATATTATGAAGCATTGTTATTTTTGTTTTTCATATTTGCAGAAACACTTTTTACATGGAATTATTTAATATTAAAGATTAAGGTTACAAAGACTTTAATGTGCCCGTGGTCGCTTGCTGATATCATGGAACAACATATGTTCATGTTCACGAATACGAGTCAGTAATATATATCCTAGTACATAAAGAGTTAATTCACCTAAATATAAATGAATTCTACTTCTTGCACATATGTAGTTATGGACAGACATGCGAAAAGTTATTAGTCTGTAATAACTAAATATTACACTGAAAAAGATAAATGTTTAATCATATCCTGAGATAAACAATTCGTAGAGTTATCGTATTCACGTTCGTATTCAATTAATCACAGGTACAAATCCCGTCCGTAATTAATTATGGGACTAATTTTGATAAACTTGATAAATTTTGTATGTAATCAGGTAAATCAAGAGGACGATCACAGATCTCATTTTTAAAGATCGTTTTGACATAGCGCGTGAGTTTCTCACTAAGAACTGAAATGATTAAAGAAAAGTAGGAAAGATTTTTTGCTTTTTTGTAACCTTGAGGCATTTAAACTACTCGTAAATGGCAGACATGCTTCTGAGGCTTAAATAGTCAGATAAATATATTACTTTGTGCGTTTAACCCGGAATGCGTGAAGATTAGGTACGACACACCCAGATCACTTTTAAAGACACATTAGTCAAATTATAAAAAATAGATATTAATCATGTTAAATCTTATGAATATCATTTATTATATTTTTACACCCTATGCATGTCTGATTCAAAATCAGGCGTAACGCTTCAAACTTCGTTATTATTATACGTTAAAAACATTGTCTAATTAAGAAGTATAAATAGATTTTTCATTGAGACAAAATGCTTTGAATTGCGCAGTCGCAGTATATTACCGCGTGTTAAACACGAAATTGAATCTGCGCATGCGCCGACTTAGAACGTAAAAGTCAAACGTCTGCGAACGTATTAACCTCGTGCAATACTAAAATTTAATTTTTCCTGTAGATTTCAATCGAATCAACGATTCTTTCGTTTCCCGTATAAATACTCACGTGTATGTGCTCATTTGTAATGGCGACTGCCTGCCTAAATATTTTGACGTCATTGTGCCTAGAAACTGATATAATTAACAGTCAGCAAATAGAATTCATCCGATTACAAATACTGAACTATTATATGGACTACATTGAAGAGCAAAGTGAAAAGTCGAAAGCTTCCTCACTCTCTTATCAAAGTTCGTTGATTACGCAAAAAAGATAATAGAACAAATTACTACCTGACTGTGTTAGGTTCTAACCGTCTACAGAACACCACATGTAAAATGCTTGAACTAAATTTAAACATTAAGAATCTTTTTTCTTTTCTCTCTGAATTGTCTCACCTCTATGTCCTGGTATTCACTTTGATTTTCAAGGACAAATTCCTCAAAGAGATGATGCGCAGCCTTCGAATGCGGAGTCTCGGCCAGGACTCTATCTAAACTGAAGCCTTTATAAGGTTTAAGAGTTTTACGTCCACCAGGATGATATTTCAACAACCCACTTATATCGTAAGTTTTGCCATGATACTTGACTACAAAATTATCTGTCTCCTCAGCATTATCCAATCTGAATTTAATATCACTATTAGAATCCGAATCACTGTAGGGTTTTTTATAATTGTTTGAAAGGTACCAGCTATTTCCATTACGTAAAGTCACACCTTTGGTGACATCATCGACGTTATCGCTCATCGTTCTCTCGACACCCTGGTAAATGGTCTCAGCTCTCAATTCCATGACTCGCATTATTCATAAATTTATCACCACGCGGATCTTCTGGTAACATCTATTTGTCTTGTGCATAATAATCTAGAACATATGGTACTCTGTGCTATTTAGAAAATATTATATTTATGCACATCCATTGTCTGATTAGATTATTCATTTAGTCAATTTTACTCTGTACAAGGCACGATATTAGAATTTCACCAAATTGATGTGTTAAGTTCTACAGAGAGGTTTAAATAGTTTGTCTTTTGAAGTTAATTCTTATTTATCCATTTTATCAAATTATAGGTGCTATCACAAACATGATGAAATAAATTAAGATTGCAAAACGGATATTCACGTTTGGTAATTAAACTGTTTTCTTCTTCAACGAGTACTTCAAGTTTCCCGCCGCTTTTGAACTCTCGAAGATGGTCTGACAGGCGTGCCGAACCGAGCCATACTGAAGGCTAGGCACCACCTAGCTTTAATAGAAATATCGCTGATATCGTGATATCAAGAGCTTTATACTTTTGTCACTTCTATTCATACATAATCTATACAGTCTACGGTTTTTGATTACATTTTTTATAGTATCACGATTAATATAGCTTGACCGTTCAGTTCATAAGAAATGCAAAAGTCGGCAATAAATAATCTTTTATTTAAATACTTTGAATTCTTGTATACAATATGCTTTTAGATCAATCTATGATTACTGACTACGGTTACGAGGATGATGTCGGGATGGCTGTAGGATCAAGAAAACTCGACAGCCTCCCCGTTAAATACTATCGGGCATTTAAAATACGTCGGTAGTTTCGTATATCACCATTCTCATACGAATTAATGTTCGCTAATAATTATCGAAAAAAACAGAAACAAACTATTCGCCTCGAATAATTATTTCCGTTACGTAATCGACCGACAGGACACACGTCTCGGGAGAAGCAAATCAAAATTTCGTTGGAACATGGTTAATTCGATTTAACAAGAATTTCGTAGCACTTTTGTTTAACGTGATTAATTATAATTCGTACCGGCCGATCTCTATATTATATTACGGAACAATTAAAAGCATATACATACATACCTAAACCACTAAAGATTACTCGACACCTGGAGACACCAAATCAGACAGCAGATATGGTTCACCGATGAAGTATTAGTTATTTCTTTAAAGTTCGATCACCAAGTAAAATGGTTCTAAAAATATGTCAAAATTCGTCGGTATACCGAATTCGATCGTCTGACTTATTCGTATCGTCGTTAAAAACTCTCACTCTCTGGCCCTCTACTTGTAAACAATACCCACCCCTCCAGTTGGAAGTGTCGCAACGCGCAAATACGATAATGTACTTAGAAATCTTCACTAAACTGTAAATCCGTTGATTTTAGTAAAACATAGCAAATTCACGTAGGATCAGTGTTGTGGGTGAATCACTGACGACGCCAATCGCCAAGTATACAACATGAAACTGGGTCGATCGAAAATATCTTTCAAATATTTTCTATCTCGTTTTTTATGAAGACAATCTCATAGAGATATTTACAAAGCTCGTACCCGAGGCTGAAGACGAAGGAGCGGTGCAACATTATTGGTGTCGTCAGAACTCAATATATTCCTGTTTTGACATTCCGAATTATTTTTATCATTTTCTCTTCTTTATATTTATACCTTTGAGGATCAGACGTCCCAGAGTGAAAAAGTGCGACGGCGGCGTCTGGCTGTAAATCGCAGCACGTGTGCCTGCCTGCCTGCCTAGTGCTGCAGACTCGCAGTGACGCAGCAAGTATGTGATCACGACAGGGTTTATAGACATGCAGGTTACCGCCCCGAGTCGATTCCATCGGACAGCGTTACGCCACTGTAGGCAACTCTACACCCGCCTCGCTCAAAGCACGAGAGCCTACCTACTTAGGCAGTGGGGATTTCATTTGACCTTCATAGGCCTAATTTAATTTTGTCAATGACGTCATTCCTTCAAATAGGAATTTCGTCTCATTGATCGCGTCATTGTAAATCGGTTACGTAAGATGTCAAACTAACATACCCGATACTTAACACGTAAGATATGTACCTACATAGGTACAGCTAAAGTGTCAGAAGTCACATGACCGATAACGAGACTACGAGATTTCATATCGATTTTACGACACGTGCGAACCTCGAAAAAAGTGAAGCAGAAGCTCAACACTATATTCAGCATCATTCGTGTTCCGCTTCTGAGAATCCCGTTAATAATTATTTTTGTGGTAACCTTATCAAATTTAATGATTGGACATGTTATCTGCTACTTCCTCTTGAAGGATTAGTTGTAACAGATATGGGATATATAAACTGTCATCCAGATTACCTTTTGTCTTCATACTTCTACCCCGAAACTTTTGCATTCGCTTAAAGATTTTGATCTTGAGGCTGGGCTGTATTCGTTAAATAATCCGAAGCTGTGTCGCGTCCTTACTTGCTGCAGTTCGCAGTCGATAACAACGAAATCGAAAGGAAGTAGATAATTTGAGGGCATAAAAGGGCCAAATCGAACGTGAGGCTTTGGGCAGCTCATGGGACTTCATAAATTGTAAAATTTTACTGGTTGACTGAAGTGTGTAAAATTGGCACAGCCATTTCAACGGAATCACTTAAAACAAGCATACAAATATACTGGAACCCTTTTTTCATTGCTTTCGCTCTTCTAGGGGTGATTCGAAATATTATTATAGTAGTAAATATCTAGTTATTTAGTTGCTATATCTAAACATTAAAAAAAATAGTAGTGAGACTGAGTTTATTGACAATACGTTACATTTGTTCGGGAATTTAAACTTTATACAATACATATGTATACTTCTTTTTACAATTTTTACATATTGCCAACGGGCCATTGACCGGAGTCCTTTCAGCCCTTCTTAAAATATTTTTTCTAAATAGAAACAACCTTGAGGCTTTTAGCATTGGAGTTCTAGCCTACTTGAGCCTAAGGTAGCTATTACCAAGCTCATTGAAGCTCTGAGTCCCTTATAATGAAAGAATTTGGAAAATTCGATGTAAGCTTCGCTTTACGATACTAAAAATATTATGCGTTAAATATGAATTTCCAAATTCTTTAACGATTAAGAACGCGGCGCTGCAATAGGTTTATCAATGGCTACATTGGGTTACGTTAAATAGGTCAGCAACTACAATGCTAGATCTTTCCCCAAGGCTTAGCTCTTTTTTAATATAAACATGTTTAAATACAGCAATCAATTAGCAATTAAGAGTACTCAAATTTTCGCGTCTTATTGTTTCGTTTATCTATTCTCTTGCATGTCTTTGGCTGTGGCATCATCAATCCCACTGTGACACAGTTATAACTTTCTGTTAAAAAGCTTAAGCAACTGAATTGGGAATATAGAGTAAATAATTAGCAACTAAAGAGTACTAAATTATTATGCTTGTTTTTAGTGAATCCACTGAAGTGGCTGTACCAACTTTTTAGACATTTTTCAAAAGTTTTATCGGAATAACAGTACGTGGAGCGGTTGCTAGGTACGTAATGAGTCTATGAATCCTGCAGTATGATTTTTTTGTCAAATGACTCATATTAAATATATCAGTCGTGACTATTCTGAAATTTGGAAATACATGAATAACAACAATCTTTGTTATTTACTGTTTATAGAATATTCTCTTATTCACTTATGTCTAACTCCTGTCTATAGCCCTAGATCATTGAAAGAGCAATTTTCTTAAGGACAATAATTTTTGAAAATATAATTCTTTGATGAAACGATTAGTCAAGTAAAATTGTCATTTGTCAATTTATCTATAAATTTGTGTGAAAATGAGTACGGCCTGACTTTAATGACACGTGAAAAAAATTTTTGTTACCATTGAGAATCGATAGATGTCGGAATCACTTAACCCTGCAAGTGCTGGTACACCTAACTTGAAATCGGTAGGATAATTAATTATTCTAAAACTAGCTGGACCAGCCAAACAAACGTCAATAAATCATGGCCAATTGTAATCCATGCCGTGAATTTAGTAATTTCGCAATTAAGGCGAAGTCAATGACTCGCTTAGGGGTACGGCGGCCATTTATATACGCGCAATTGGTATGCACTAGGTACTAGAGACTTTGTCGTTAACGTTAATTAAAAATCCTTACAATATATTATTTACTATTTCGAAAAAAATAAAAACAAATAAAATTTACACCAACAGATCAGCGATTTTGTCACCTATTTACTAAGCTATTGCCCGATGTACTATATGTTTCAGTGCCACGTTCCTTCATTGGCAGTTTCATTACTTCCATTTCATTTAGTTCTAACTTCCAAATTAAATCATTAAAGTAAATTGAAAATTGTCCTTGGTTAACGTGCTGCAGGTATTCACTCTGTTTCTAATCCTCTTCAGTACTGATAGACACATTAAACATTTCTTCTTTTCCATTTTACGTTTTTCATGTCCTCAGCATCGTCCGATCGTATCTTCACCAATTGAAAAGCTCTCTCGGGAAGTTTGTTAGGGACCATTTTTGTAAAGGGTGGTGCACTGTTGTTGTCATCGTCGCTGTTCTCATCTTCGTCCTCGTCCTCTTCGGGAAAGTCTTCGAGCCTGTCGTGATACTCGTCCAGCTGAAATGAAGAATTAAATTGAAGATGACTTAATGGACTCTATGCACTTTCTGACGTTTCGTCAAATTGCAATCACAGGCAGTGGCCCATGAGCCTCGGGCAAAACAGAACCTCAGGACCTATCAGGTGGGAACATAATTCGAATTTCATTCAAAAAATAAAAGACTGACCTGCTACAGTTATTCAAGTTTGTCTTTAGTCATTACTTATCATATTATCATCCCTTGACATTCCTTGGCATCAGTCTTCGAACAAAGTAACAATCTACCAATAATCAAATATTACTTCAGTCCAGGTACTAACGAGCTGTCATCTTTAACAAAGTGGCAGCCACTAACCATGCACTCTACGCACTCAATCTGAAGCTCTACTGACTTGCAAATCACATAGGTATGCATATTTATTCTTAATATTCCTAAGGCAAGTGGATCTGACTAAAAGTTATCATTTTTCTGTTTCAGTTACTCAAACTGGTGCTGCTTCTCCTTCTATTACTAGCAGATGGTTCCAAGAGATAAAAAAATACTTTTATTGCCATCATTTGCAATTAGTATCTAAGCTTTATGTTACGTGCCTATACAGCTCTTTATAAATGATTATCATATAATCATAATGAAATTTGTAGTCAAGTTAATCAGTCCCGTACAGTCATTCATCTAATCACGGATGATTGATTAATTATTTTATAGCGACTTCAATTTTGTTGCTGTCACATGAAACTGTATCTTGTTTTGCGAATAATGAAAGTTTCAATGGATGCTGTAATTTCTAAAAGCCACAAATTATTCACCTAATTCAAACAACATAGGCAGCTAAGACATCTAAGTGGCATTCTCTGAATTAACTACTGCAGACTCACATGTATAAGGTAGCTACGGAAGATAGCTTATCGACGTTACCACAGAGACAGAGGATGCTTACCTACAACTGCAGATCATACGTTCAATTCTGTGTTCATCGGAAATACGCATAATTGGCCCGCCACGAGAAAAAAATATATTCGAGATGATCAGCGACATCAGAATCTTTCTGCTTACCAAGAATCTTTATATGAAGGATAATTGTACTGATGCCACTGTCTACTTGCACGTGAAAGAACAGCTCGTGGTGCACTAATTATGACTTTTTTTTTTAAATCCACAGGTACATTCTTAATCTGGCAGATTCACTCGGCATGGATTTCTTAGTTATATTATATATATATTTCCATAAGGGTATAAGACACGTATTGTCCTGTAGGACCAAAAGTGGATTTGAGTACTGTAGAGGATCATCCACGTCGTGCTTTATGAATTATCTCTGATTATATTTAAGGGATGCAACATGAATTTGAAAATATTACGTACAACAATACACATTGACACAGCGTTAATGAACGCAACAAAAAAAAATAAATATATGTGTACGCGATCCTATAACTATTCAGCTCTATCTACATGAGAAGAGCCGTACTGAGGTACAACTATCTTATGTCTTCCATTTAATGATTTTCCAATTAAACTTCTCATTTGAAGAAAAGTGGCACTCTGCCAAGTGGGAAATGTCGAGATGTCGAGACATCTCGAGATGTCATGCACTTAACCGTTAAAATTTTCGATACCAGCGGCCATTCTCATTCGCAAAACAATTTCAGTCCTGAAACTTTTTTAAGTGCTTGTGGTTCGGTATAGTTATTCTATTATAACTGAAACTGAAATTTAGTTGAAAAATTTTCTCTCGCATTAGTGGAAATCCTTCTTTTAACCATTATTACAATAACCCCAAGTAACTATCATTTTCCTGCAGTAATACAAATGGTCGTGCCTGTTGAAGGAAATTCTGACAATCTCATCTGAGACACTGTGGACCACCCGGAGTTTTTTCGAAATGATACATTAAGTACAAAGTTATATTATTATGGATACTTACGTCGACGTCTCCCATCATTTCTTTGGTGGACACTGTAGTGTCTATACGACGGATGCTACCCTGGTGGATGTCCACGTCCAGCTTAACACATTGGAATCTTCTCAGTAGGAAGACAATAGGCATCGGTGCGACTCCTGCTAAGATAATAATCGCTGCGATTGCCAAAACCCACGTAGGGTAGTAGGTGGATGTGCTCATTCCCTGAAAAACAGTTAATTAACATTAAATTTAATTGATTGTTTATATGATAATTTCAAGATATTTACCAACGATGCATCCCAAGCAGAATACTGAGGCTTATTGAGAAACATGAAAAGAATACTGGAAACAAGGATGCCGACCATTATTATTGGTGCCAGGAAGCGCCAGGTTACCTGCCAGTAAATTCCTGGCCTGTACCCTGTCATGTCTTCTATGTCCTTGGTGAACCTGTAATTGTGAAAATAATAATTAATTATATCGTATGGCCGCTTTCTTTTTTTTTTATAATTTACATACTTTTCATGTCCGTATATGAATATTACAGCTATCATCTCCATGAGAGCAACCATCACCAAGCCGATCGTTCCAGCGAAACTGTCAAACATCTTGAGCCAATATTCACCAGCTCCAGTACAAAAGATCAGTCCCATTAAGAAACAGATTAAACAAACAGCTCCTGAAGACAAAGTTATTGCATCTGTTAAGATTCTGATTAACGAGGATTTAATTGCTGTAAGGGGGACAGAGATATGTCGATACCCGTTATATACTGCTTCTTTATTCTCTTGAACAGATCTATGTCGAAGATCACGCAGAGCATACCCTCCAGGATACCAATTTGAGAACCCAGACCCAAGGCCAGCAACATCAGGAAGAAGATACAGGACCAAAATGGTGCACCAGGTAACTCGACTATTGCCTGAGTGAATATTACGAAAGCTAATCCAGTTCCTTGGGCAGCCTGATGCAGAATTCAGAATACTTTAATAAGGAAGTGGATAGGACCCATGGGAAATTTGTTAATGGGACTCACGTTGTCCAATTGTCCACTGAGGCTGCACCAGTTGATCGCAACGGTCCCTGACATCGCTGTCGTCATATTCACCACAGTAAAATTTGTATCGATAAGATGATTAAATTGATCTACAGTGAGGCTGGTTTCAGATGCATTAATATAACCACTGTCGATGAGCAGCGGTATATTGCTAGATAAAAAGAATTTTATTAATTAATTTTTTTGATAACACCCAAGACTAAAGAAAAACGTTCTAAGACGTAGATTAGCATTGAGGTCCTAAAATAACCTAGTTATCGACCAAACTCAGGCAAGATATCTTACTTCTTTTTATAACTATAAGACTGAATTTATAGCTGCTGGAGATTTAAAGGTCGCACGTAATCGATTTGACAGTATGACAGTAATCATACTGAATTGAGAACGTTCCTATATCGATCCCGTCTATTTTTTAAGTACAAGTTCTGAGCCTCTCGGTTATAAATTTGAAAAATTGTAAAATTTCAACCCCTCACAATATTTACCTTTGTATACAGTTCTTGACGTTGCTCATGGCTTTAAAACCGAGGATCGCAAAAATTACGACACTAGCGTAGATAGCCGTGAATGCATTGCAGATGCTCACGAGGATGACATCACGGACGCAATTATTATCTGGTGAATTGTAGCTGCCAAAAGCGATGAGCGAACCGAAGGCTAAACCGAAACTGTAGAAGACTTGAGTAGCAGCATCCAGCCACACAACAGGATCCAGAAGTTTTTCTACCTATTGGAACAGTAAAAGAATTTTCTATACTTTTACTGACATTTCATACCTTCCAGTAACATTGCAATCGTCGAAGTTTACGACTCTCGTGAGATAAGAGAAACATCGAGCAATACCTTAGGCGTGTACATGTGAACCAATCCGGCGCCAGCGCCTTCAAGCGTTATGCCTCGGATGAAGAAGATGGTCAGCACCAGGTACGGGAACATGGAGGTGAAGTAGACAACCTTCCCAGATGACTGGATGCCTTTCATGACGATACAGAATACGATGATCCAGCTGAGCAAGAGGCAGAGGACGATCCACCATTTAAGACCTTGACCATCTTCAATCGATGGCGACACGTCCAGCGTGGTGCGATACCAGAAGTATTCTGTCGCAGAACTCTTAGCGCACTCTTCGATGATCTTCCCATTTTTCTCTGGACACGTCGCCCACGGGAGCGTCTCCTGGAGAAGATTACAGGTTAGGTTAATTTCCATTAAAGGACACAAGAATATAGAAACTTTGCAGCTGTCCATGAAATGGCTAATTTAACTTTCATTTAGGAAGTTTGCGAAAGCACTTATTAATCAAGTCAATTAAAAAAGGGGTAATACTACAAACGCGCGATGAATTTTTCATGATCTCTTGCCAATTATATATACATATATTTCTCATTCTTATTAATTGTACGAATTATCCTCGCGGCTTACATGCTTCATGTGCGAGGATTAGCGTGCGTATGGCGATTATGAATTTTGAATGGACGAGACGTGACGATGGTGACGATGGTTGATGACGATGACGATGATGACGATGATTTCGATGACGGCGACCTAACTGCATGATCATAAGCTTACAATTGCAGCATGTCACAGTTGCCCCAATTATACTTACTCCAAATTTAACGGTAACGGCCTGTCGCGCACGCGAATTGAAACAGAGAATGGCATTGTTAATCGTACATCTTGGACGGTGAGGATAAATAGAGGAGTTTCTACGTGTCCTTGAATAATATTTTCATATTATCAGATGACACACGTATGTACCTTGAACCTCACTCTTCTATATTTATAGACATTAGAAAAAAAGATAAATTAACGTTCTGAATATCTATGTCTTACCTGCAGTGAATTGAAGAGATAATAAAAGCACCAAGTGATGATAACATTATAATAAAGGGTGACGAAGAAGGTGACGATGCAAGAGGCAATCCCAATACCACCCAGCCAGGGGTGTATAGTATTCCAAGCACCTAGAGCACCTTGACGCATCCGCTGACCGAGACCCAGCTCGATCAAGAACAAAGGGATTCCCTCAAGAATCAGCATCACGAAGAAGGGTATAAGGAAAGCACCTGAAATTTAAAAAAAAAACAGGTAACAAAGTTTCGTACAACTTCCATTATCATTGTCTCGGTCACGTCCGAGTACGAATAGTCGTTAAATTTTCAGGTCAAACTGGATAGGAATGTTCATTCGCTGATCACGCAGTACTTCATTCACATCAAGCGGGAAAACGTGAAACGGCAATTAACAAAAGTAGATAACAATAATATACAACAACGCGCAAAAGAGTACTTGTACGCCGTACACCCGGAATTTGCTTGAAAGCACGCACGCGCCTTTCTCATGTTTTCAATAACATTTACATATTTTGATTTCGAACCAGTTGAACTGGTTAGATCCGACGTTGTCCAACTCTTAACCACCAACATGCCAATTTATGTATTTACGATAATTGCTTTTTGCAAATCTTATCAAAGCGGTAGAATAAGCAAGAATGCTAGAGCAATCACGTATGGCAATCCTCACGTAGAAAGTGAGGTCAGTTGCGTTTCTACTAATCCAAGAAATATAACCACGCAGAAGGCAGATGCTTGAAAAAGTAAATATTTGGTTATGAGGCCTTAATGTACGATTGCCAAAGAGTAACGTTACGCGGCTCATGGCGTGCGTGGTTTCCGCAGCTTACACTGGACATCGGCCTAAGGAAACATCAAAGAAGCCAGATCAACCCGTCGATAGTGTCTGTCGTTCAATTGAGAGCAAGGAATGCTGACAGTAGGATAGAACTGGTATCCGGTACAATGTTTCGGGCATTATCCTGAGACATTAAGGATATCGACCAAGGTTAACCTCAGCGACCTCAACGATTAATTCGTTCGATGGGGGAAAAAGAAAATTATAAATAAGGACAGACAGCGTATAGGATTCAAAAGGGTGCAGGCCAGGTCACCTCCTCGTTCTATTTCGGTGGTTCGATACACCTACAGTTTGATATGAGAAAGGAGCATGACTACATGGCAAAGCAACAGAGTTTCAAAAACTGCCCACTGTCAATGGTCGTTGATTCGGCTATCATTAGGATCTCTTCAAAGTTGAGTGGACCGGGCGATTGACGTAATAAAGGAAACGTAAATCAAAGAAGGAGCAGTCGTCAATCGGTTAAGAATAAGGTATCTAATAAGGATAGGAATGTGGAGCAAAGACCTGGAGGAAGATGAGCGCGGTGGAATTAGCGAGAGAATTCTCTGCCAAGAAATTGTTCGGCGTCAAAGTCCACGAGGTTTCAGGGTTGAGTCTCTCTCTCACTCTCTCTCACTCTCTCTCTCTCTCTCTCTCTCTCTCTCTCTCTCGACGCTATTCATTTATTCGACGTCCCACCCTGCCGGAAGAGCCCCTAACCAACTCAATTCTTCAATCTATATGTATACAGAACCTCCCCTCGTGGTCTGCCTCCACCCTCTCGCTCCTTTCCCCGCTCCCCGCCGCCCTGCCCACTCTCCCTCACTGACTTTCATGCTCTCTCGTGCTTTCGCCAAGCAGCCAGAGTGTCTCGTATTGATCGAGCAGCCCCCACTGTAAGTCTTTGGCGCGTGTTACAGAGGTTCGCAGGAACAAGCAGAGTCCAGGACGTTGGATGAAAAGGACAAGAGAGTGATGGCGTGCTTCCGATTCATTGGTAAATGTCTCTTCCACGAGGAGATCAGGTCCAACGGATGCATCGACATGCCTCTAGGATATTACTATACATAAGCCCTTGAAACGTCTGCCTGGACCCACGTTACGTCAGACTATCATGAAAGGTGCAAAAGTCTATACGAACGCTCAACGGAGGGGACTATGAGGTCCTGTCAAAATTCATGGCATTGTTCGTTAGCACGGTGCCAAATGCGAATTCACGGATGCCAATTTCAGGGGAGGAACACAAAACATCGCAGATGTACACCGGCTCGAAGAAAAGAGCACATGGCCTACAGTCACGTGTCCTTTGTCATGGAAGATCGATCCGAACGGAAATTTCCACTAGAAGAGGAGCCTCTCCTACCGTAGAAGAACATTCGCGCAATTCTAATCGAATCATTGGTCCACCGATTCTCCACTACGTTATTTCACTATGGTGTCCCTCCGCTGATATTTCTGGGAATGCTTCTCATGCTTGTAGCACGGTGCAGCAAGTACGGTGAGTTTTATTAATAGGGTCTGATCGTTCTCTCTATAATATCACATGTAAATATTCTGCACAGGTTAGTAATTGGATCGTCCATTATGTAAAGAGGCGTCTTGATGTTTAGACGAGAGCCTTTATTATGCACAACAATCGCAACGAACCTGAGCCAGAGCGAGCGGACTGGTCGCTGCTCTAGAGGCCGATCAATACACGCTACGGAAAGGTCAGCAGCACTTACGGCTACGTACGGAATCACGTACCGGCGACACACCTCTCTCGGTACGATCCGAGTACAACCCTTTATACTTTATACGTTTATTGGAAAGGACAGTAGGCCTTCTGGTCTAATTAAGAGGGCACCTAAGATCGAATCATAATGACGTTGCGTGGAATCAGTGGGAAGCACTTGGACTATGTACAAAGATAGACCGTTTTTTGGTTACAGCGGAAAGATATCGATCTCTTCATTTTGAACGAGAATAACGAACGAGGATGCTAGTAACGTTCGTTTCGACAGACTGCATTCCCAAGTGATTTCGTGGCCTAGGGGGTTCCCGAAATACTATACTCATGGGGTAACGGATAGCGAAGACCTCGGTCCTGTTTAAAAATAGTTCAAGACACCAGAAGCCATCATGGATCTATGCCTTAGAGACTGTGATATAAATAAGATCCTTCTTTTCAGATCACTGAGATTCGCTGTTTTTGGATTAAAGCGGTTGACGCGAGAAGACAATAGCTTATTCTTTGAAATCGCTGCACCGTTAGATTTCACGGACGCTGTGATATGATGGATCTCTTTGGGATCAGATTGTCGTTCTGTTAATCGAACCGTCACGCCTTCCATCAATATGATGGATTGATAGTAGCTAGACAGTATTTAGTAAGTGGATACGCGGTGATAATAATATTGCCAATAAGGCAATTTATTGGCTTTATTTATTTTTCTATGTTGATTTCCCTGCACTTTTTATAGACCTATGGAGTTTCCCAGATGGTCCATACATCCGGATACGCTGATGGCCAGGGAAAGAGAAGGGCAAGGGAGTGAAGGGCAAGGGAGCAGTAAAGAACGAGGGTTGCAACGGAAGGGAGATGTCCCAGATTCGAAAACCTTGACCCAATGATTCGCCTCTGGAGCTACAGAGCGAGGCTTCGGAACATATTCAGCTTAGTGCGGAAATCATCTCTTGGTTATTTAAAAAAAAAAAAAAAAAAAAAAAAAAGCACTTGGCTCTTACGTAAGCAGCAGAGGTAAATCTGGGATAAGCTGCTTACCAATTGCTATACCGAAGATACTCTCTGATAAGCCGGGACCCAACATTCGTACGTGATAAGAGAACTTGTGACGTAAGGGGGAAAAAAAAAAAAAAAAAAAAAAAAAAATTGATATCTTATTCACGTATAGAAAATGCAAGCCATCGGTAATGTTGAATTAAAGAATATTTGAAAAATTGACAGCTGACAGTGTTCTAAATTCAGCAATGATTTATCTATGTCATCGGTACCACCGAGACCAGCCACATTGGACTCTTCACTGTTTTTATCGATTATACCAGGCTGTATTTCAATCTGGGTTAAAGAATCCCGGAAGATGGGAAGAATTGATCGGCACTCTGTGACGCAACCCTGCAGTTCTTACTGAATTTACTGTCCTTAGGGAGGGATGAGACTGTGACGGATTTTGATTTGTGACAATTCTGGAAAGCTGTCAGTTCAATAAAATGTTACGTCAAGAAAAATGAAATTAGATAACGTGTAAAGGACTTACCACCACCATTTTGTTGACACAGATACGGAAATCTCCATATATTTCCAAGACCGACGCTGTAGCCAATGATGCTGAGAAAGAATTGCATCTTCCCGCTCCATGCTGCACGGTTGTCTTCTTTGGCATCTTGACTTCCAGCTTGATTTTGACTTCCGCTCACCACTATTGTTACGTTGTGACTGGTACCGCCGCTACCGACAGCACCGATACCGCCACCCTGAATTTCCTCACTCAGGGGTGCCAGCTCGTGTCCGTTTCGCGTGCTTTCTGCCTTTACCACCATTCTTCAATAATTCCCAACAAGGTCCACTTCAAGAATGCGAGCAGAGTTATCTCTATGAAATATAAATTTACGATCTGTCTGCTTGCAGTTGATATTGACAATTGGCCGATTCTGTTTCTGTCTATTTACAAACACGACTGGCCTGTTTATCCTGAGGATGCTCAGCGTTTCATAAACTTCCGTGAGCGTCTCACGTGTAAGAAAATAATTATGTACTGGCGCAAGGTGCGCAATAGATTGATTATCGTTTCGTTTTGCAGATCTAGTCGTTGGTAAATGGCGACATAAGGCGATTGAGGTAAGAAGAGAGGCCCGGGTGGTAGGAAGAGGAGGTTGGTACGCTCTAACGTTTATCGGTATCCACTGAATGAAACGTAGTTGTGATGTTTACAGCGGACTCGGACGTCCGTCTTCCAGTTAACTCCCAGCTCCGTGACGCGTAGAAGTTCGATCGGTTTTCAGTTAACAAATTATTTTTACTTTAATTTTCAATCGAACCTCTCAAATGCTCTTTATGATTTTTTAAATTGGATTTACGTCCCCTCGAAGTTCATTAATATTAGGAAACTGCTGTCTTCCTCTTGACTTATGTTCTTTTTGTTCTCTTCGGTTCTATTTACGTTATTGTCGTTTCGATTGACGGCTCGACGAACCGCTTAAGGAGTAAACTTGAGCTTTCCTGTGAGCGCTGACGCGCCAAAGTGTATCAAGATTATAATTACGTGGGATCCTGAGATAATCGGGGGTGCGTTCCTACCGAACGAATTACAGATTGAATCGCGGATTAAAGCCGAAGTTCAAGGTTCGAAGGTAGTTTGCTCTCCCTTAGTTCCGGTTTATTGATTCTCCCTCTTGTTCGTCCAGCGACTGAAGTTAATACTATTCTCCCTCGCGAGCTATCGCTAGTAATTGCGACCAGGAGCCAGTGAGGATCTGGAGAATCCCGGGCTGAAGTTCCTGACGAAGCTACTCCCGCTGGAAACCGGACTCTCTCCTTCTTCTTCGTATCCTACAACCGGAAGGAGATCCTCGGCCGATACGTAAGGCCGGAAACCACCGGGAGCCGCGTGTTCCTCAACGCCTCTCGCTCTTTTTCTCTGTCTTCGTTTCCTCTTTCTGATCGTCCTGGACGTCCTCTTAATCCACCTTCTGGTACCCGTTGTCCTCGTCGTTGTCCTGGTCTTAATCCTTGCAGTCGTAATCGTCGTCGTGATGATAATCGTAGCCGTGGTCGTCGTCGTGAATCTTCCTCAGGGAAATTTCCAGGTTTTCTTAAAGATCCGAGTTCTAATTACTTAAACTTGATACTCTTGAGATTACGCAAGCTGGTATTATACTCAGTGTGAAGGTTGGTCGGCGTGGTAGATTTCGGACCCATGTATACCAGCAGCGTATAACGCTCTCGGTTGTTCTAGGTCAGCTCTGACGAAGGCCAGCCACCCGGAGGGTTGTCGTGTTGCGTGCCGCACTCTCGCTCGTCGATAACAGACTGAACTCCGTGCTGGTCCTCGTCCTGGGAACAACACCGTAACACCAAGGCACACCATCGTACCGGTGCGCACCACCACATCGGCAACCCGAGTACCGTACGAAGAGACCCTCGCTACTGTTCACCACCGAACTCTCCCATTGGTCGACGGCACGCGCATCGCGTCTCGAACTTTCGCGTCGCATCCATTCTTCCGACCTTCCATCCTTCCATCCTTCCATCCTTCCATCCTTCCATCCTTCGGCATTCTACACTTCCAGCTTCCCTCCCCTGGCTACTTTATACCATTCTGAGTTATCATCTAACCAATATGCATTATATATTTTCTATTAGCAACTGACAGATTGCGGCGTTTTGTAAACGTTCCAATCTGCATCATGAAGGCTAAGGAGCTTCGATACAGTATCAGACCGAAACATTTGCAAAACGTCGGCAATCCGCTAAATCTAGACGCAGCATTCATACAAAAATCATTAATTTTAATCACAATTTTGGTCGCAAAGGGCTCAAAACTAAGACATATTTATCTTTGCTCATTTTATTTGTCCCAAGGACCGAGACGATCTATAGAATTTATAAATATATTGCTTATGACAAATTGAACCATACTGCGTAAGCAAAGTGAGTAGGCGTTATCGGTCCCTAAGAGAATCGTTGTGAAGAGACCTTTAGGGCAATCGATGTGCATATTTCGCGGGGGTGTACCAAGTGGTGTTATATGTTAGTCTGAACGTCGTATACGGCTCTTGCTACCCCCCGTCAACCCCTCTGGCATACAACGTCACGTGACGTAGCAGCTGGTACTCTGAGGGGGAGTTCCGCGGCAGCCAGTAGCAGCGCGCACATATACACACCTCCGTGTCCCTGCCAACCCTGGTTTGACCCGGTAGCCCACCCTCCTTCATAGAATTTCGAAACCTCCCTCCTTCTCTAGCTCTTTCATTACGAATCCCCATCACGAGGCTGACACATATCTAAACACTATTATGTGTACATAATACCAACACGCATTTGCACGGACAGGCAACCTCCGTGACGTCATTCTCACATTTCACTAGATTCACTCTTTACGTCGTGCATCCCTAACCGTCTCACCGCAGAGTATTCTCTTGACACCTCTCGGAACATTTACAAATTACGCAATGCTTATGTATCCACTAGCATCCCTGTTTTTCATCACCCTTTCCTATTTTAATTCGATTGTTGTTTTTCTTCTATATCACCTCTTGTGGTTTTGATTCAACGTGCAGTGTACTATGGAAATTGGTAGCCGTTCTCAGTATTATTCTGCTATGAGAAGTCCTATAGATATTTTCTTGATTTTCGCTGCGATACCAGGTAGATCCAAGACAATATATTTTATGAATTAAATATCACGTCTGTACCAATTTAAACCTTCTTATTCTACGTGTACTCGACTGTGAGAGCAATAGAGTCAGTTGCGCTATTTATAAAAGCTGTCAAATTCAGGCGGCGCCGTTAAGCATTTGCGATAGTTCCTGAAAATGCTGTCTTATAATTAGCTAATACACGCAATATATATATATATATTATTAAGCATACCTATAGGGCATAACGAGAGAACGAGCAGCAGGAGGAAAATTGGGTCGAGGGTAATTCTCGAGCACGTAAAGCCTCGATGATCAGCACATCTCGTCGAACACCAGTCCACGCACTTGAACCTCTTCGATGGCAACGTGCTCTGGTGTATCCTCATCCTATTCTTTTTCATTTTGTCATCTTCAATATTCTTTGTCGCCTTGTTAGACGCAACTGTGGCTTCTTGAAGAATCCTGGAAATATTAAAAAAATTGATGAATTACCAATTGAAAGGGTACGAGGTAGGTTTTGCATAAGAGAAACACTTAACTCCCAGAGCAGCTTCCTGGCGTCACATCCTCATTCATCGTGTTATTAATAATTATGCATTGTTTGCGAGAGAAGTGGGAAGCAAGGGACCACGTGTACAGCCTAACCCTGAAAATCGACTGGTGCTTAGTGCGTTTCAGCTTTCTGTGAAATCTAAACGTGGAGTTCGGATTACTATTTCTGGACAAAGATACAGAGAAATGGTGAAATCGATTGGCTCTATCTATATGTTTGTTGTATGGTATGGGTGCGCAGGTAACTCATCCTCCAATAATATTAGGTGAAGCTGAAATAAAGGAATTTTCCTTAACTTCTTCTAACCTCGAGGATTTAAGGTCCAATGGAAAGTTTTCACGGAGCGGGTCGATATGAGTTTGGCACGCGAAATACTTTTATTCCCACTGGGGAAATCCCTCCTCGTCCGCCCCAAATTCTTCAGCAACCCTAAGCCTTCGTATCCACTACGTCTACCCGGAATCCAGGTGTCATTAAGCGGTTTATAAATATTTACTTAGGCAAGGATCTCTACTCGGTAAAAATAGTTTGGGTAGATAGATGTACCTCTCGTTAGTTTTGTTGTGAATCAGATTATGGATTTGGTAACACGCCTACGTCAGAAGCGACGGAATGGTCAAGCTGCGACGCGGCACATTCCATCCGCAAACAATTATGGAAACAAAGGAGACACATTGCCGATATCATGGCGAAATACAGAAAACAATCCTTTATCGATTAGCAATCGAGTAGTAGAGAACAAGCGAAGTGTCACTACGGTGATTTAGTCGGAATACTAATCTCGTCCTCGTGCCGTTCGTACTCACCGCATTACAGTTCCGATTTTAATAGTGTATTATAATCATTCTGTTTTCAATAAATCTTTTTTATACGTTTTCGAGAGTTAAGTTCCAATTTTTTACTCGGACAACGAATCCCAAAAGTACCCGACTCCCGAATATCCATTCACGTAGTCAAACCTGTAGATCTAACATTTAGACCCACAACAGTTTTGTTTAGACCGCTTGTTTTTAATATTGAGAACCATGGGTTATTTCGCTGTATTTTCAAAAATTTACGTATTTTACTTCTATCTTACCAGTCTGCATTTAATCTTCTTAATCTTGTAAATTTGTCAAATAATTATATTGTTTAAAATCACCTACACAGCTATTTCTAATGACGTTTCAGACAGAAAATCTGATGTTGCAATCCTGTTCAAGTAAACGCATATGTTCGTGCGTCGTTAATACATTTTAATTGCGTATTATTCACTGTTCCCATAGCACAGATTGGATATTATATTTAAGTGTTTGTTTCATAAAACTTCACGGTCCTAACCTTTTGCTTGTCAATTACACCATCAGCGCCACTTAAAGTTCACTTATCAAGCGTATTACCGACTAAGATCAATACTAACTTACCAACAGTTCACAGCCCTTGTAGGTATTGAGATTTCTGAAATTGACACCAGATGGACGGCACAATGTACTCCTCATCTGTTGCTCACATTGTTCAACGTGTTTCAACTATTAACAACTTTCCAAATTTAACAAATTCATTTAGTCCACATGCAGTTTGCAAAATCTTTTCTATATAGAAGTAATTGCAAGTGAAAATATATGTCATTCTTATTGCTACTTTTGAGAGACGGTGTTTCTCACAAGCGGTATACGTGAATGTACTTACTTTATATACAGCTTGCAGAACGCACTCTTTCGGAAGTGTGTGCTAGTGATGGCACAGCTGAACATTGATCGCTAACGTAGATATATGGCAGATCTGCTCAGTGGGTGTTGTCACGTGGTCGCTTCAAGTAGCTTGTGTTCGGCTCCCGATTGCGCTAGCAACTGCCGGGTAGGTGCGGTGCGTGATTGCTTCGCGGCTTCACGTATCTCCAACCCGGTTCTTGCATGCCTGCACGGTTGAGTCTTCACGTCGCTCCTCGAACTACCGCGATTTCCAAATTGGGGGGCAATCGAATAGGTCAGACGAGGTAATTTGTCGCTTCCATATACAGGCACTATGGGGTGCCCGTAGTATGCCATGTTTTTTATATTAAAAAAATAAAATAATTAACTATCATAATATTACCAAGTTTACAAAAGATTGCAATTGGAAACAATAGACAGTAGAAACGAATACAGTGTTATATGACAATTGTATTATTTATTTTGTAATTCACTATTTATCTCAGAGGCTATCTGAGTGAAGAGCAGTTCCCAATTCCAAACTTGATCGATTTCCTTAACTAATTTGTCGGAATATAATTTTTCAGCAAGGAGAGACAAGTCGAGGTCATCCAATGAAGCGAAATTTACATTTGTTAATAGATCCGTGTCCACCTCTCTATAGGCTGTTACGCGGGTAACCTTTGTTCTGAAAATACAAGGTTCACAGTAAGCGATTCCTAGAACAAAATTCAATTTGTGAAACTTACGCAGGTGCATTGGCAACCTCAGTCAGGATATTGTCATCTTGTACGTCCTCCAAGTCAGGTATAACAGGGATTTCTAGAAAGTAAAGTGGCAATAATGAATAATCAAAGAAACACAATGACCATTAGTCATACCGTGCCGCCTAGTTCCTTCATTGACTTCCACGTCGGCATCGTCTCCGTCATCCAAGCCGGAGCGATCACCTTTGTCAGCCCCACGAAAACGTTCCCTAAAGAAGAGTCTATCAGTGACTTAAGGATGTCTGACTCTCTTCTATCTTTACTCGCTATACTCACTGTTCTATCATGCTTGATGATATCTTCGTTCTGTAATTCAATAAACAATAAAAAGGACAATTATTCACCGTAAGGGTTCATTCAGACTAAAGACAGTAGACAACGACCAATGGGTAAGAATGCTCTGGGTTTGATTTATGACGCTGCCAGGTCGACGCTATTTGCCCATTGGTCGCTGTCTGCTGCAAGTGTTCATCGTGCAAGGTTCCTAAGAATTCAACCCGGGCATCGCTACCTGAGGATCCCGAGTAGGAAGAAAACACGTACTTGGAGCCTTTTGTCTCATCGCCCCATCCGGTTTTCCTAGCACGTGGCGGTGCCACTGGTGTTGCTGTAGCAAGACTGCTCAGAGAAACAGGACTGTCCAGAGGGTCATCCTCAGACTTGAAATCATCCCGCGATGCGCTTCCTTGACCAGCTCGTCTTCCTAACCTCGGTACCAGCTGTGTTACGATAAAATATTAATTATACTCCATACTATACTTATACTTCTCTTTATATCGTAACTTTTACTCACCTTCTTCGAGCTTACTTCTAATTCGCTGGTCCAATCCATGAAGTTGTATTTTTACTGATTCTTACTGGACTGACTGGACGACTCTCACTGATCGTGGTCTTTCCGTTTACAGACTGGTTTCCGTAATACAGCGTGATCAGTACAAAGGTTGGAGAACAGGAACAGGTTGGTTCTCAGTCGATATGTTTACCAACGGTAACCATGGTGACCACCATTAGTACCTTGCGTATGGAGGAATGCCTGTCGGCAGGCGCAAACATTGTTAGTCTATTATTTTTTTTCCAAATGGAGCTAAACCAGAAGAAACGATACTGAATGATGGATGACGATAAGGAAATTGTTTAATAATTTAAGAGACATATAAAAAGGGTATATATATATATATATATATATACTTAGGAGTAACGACAAACCTGCTATACATTAATTAATTCGAGCAGATTCGAAGAGCCCTTATTCTTGGTAGCATTATATTCTAAATATAGCAGGTTTGGAATGTGGTGAAACGTGTTTCGGATATTTTTAACCGAGGGGAATCGAAAATACACCCTCATAATTTAGATATAGCAAGCATTGATGATGCACGGGTGGGATGCAAATAAATAGTAAATGTTTCGGAATTGAAATACAGCCAAGAGAAGTTATATGTTTGTATGTCGATAAATAGTTGCTAGATGACACCTTACGTGTCTAAGGAAGCAGAAATGTCGTCACTCCTGGGTAACTTAAATATTAATTTATTAATATGTACAACTGTAAAATGTCGAGACGCAAACAAATATTCCTAGTCACTACTTAATGACTAGTGACATCCACATCGGTCAGCGATCATGTCCTCGTACATCTTGAGAATGACGTTGTCGTTGTCATCGAAATAGAGGATACTCGCACTGAGGAGTTTAGTAGGGACACAGCACGGTTCCTGGACGTCGTTGGCCAGGCCCAACTTGTGGACGATGCTCTGAACTGTCGCGTGATTGGTCGGCCGTTGGCTTTGACTTAATGGGAAGTTGCAGTGACCTTTGCAGTGATACGCCGAGTAGCCCTTGGGTGCGATGATAAAGGAAGACCATCCAATCTCTTCAAAGTCCACGTACAGCTCATGCCTGGTACAGTCTGTGGCGTTTCCTAGTTGTGGATCCGCACGGGTCCGCCTCATCGAGAATGGTGCCTCTTTATAGTTTTCAGTTGCTGAACGTCGGATACGCCTTGCTGCCATCCTTTCGCGTCTTGTGGCTTTCGCGTAAATGTCCATGGATTTAAGGAACCTGGGACTATAGGTCCGTTCATCGTGAATGGAGCGTACTGACCTTTCCAGCTGCATATCTTCGTTCTTTAGCGACGTCGTCGATGGCCGCATAGTGGATCCTTGAAGGAATGGCGATTCTCTGTTAGAGTGTTGCTCGCGTTTCCGGTATCCTTCGAAGGTATTCGCTTCCTTATCTTCGGTCTTGTAACTGACATTATCCAAGCCTTCTAGGCTGTTATCGTATTTATAATAATACGGTAGCGTTCCTCCGCTCGTTTCGGCTGAGCGCAAGTCGTCACCGTGGCCGCCGTCGTCGTCGAAGAGCACGAGGATCGGTTGTTTACTGTGCTGGTTATCGCTGCGCCGTGAGAATGAAACTGACACCTGGTCCCCGAAAAGCGTGGAGGCCGTCACTAGGAGGCCGAGGTTCGGTGCTCCGTTCATCCAAGATAGAACAGCTTGTTTTACGTTGAAGACCTTTTGCACAGAGACGATTAAAGAATTCATACAGCAACAGAATCCTGCTACCTTGGACGTAGTGGATTCCTTACCTGCCAACCGGAAGCATGAGCACCGACATAGTGGATGTTCAAAAGCCTATGGAGGTCAGGCTCCTCCAAACTCTGGTCAGGTAATACCTGATAGACTCTTATCTATATAAAAAAGATAAAGAATTGAATATCACATAATTGGAAAAACTATTCAGAATAATCGCATATAGTTAAAATGTCTCTACCAGATAATAAGGACTTGACAATACACTGGGATGAAGATCCTTGAGCGATGCTCGCCTTCTGTAGAGATGTAACTCCGCTTCGAGAACTGACTCGTCCACCTCCAAGCCAGAGATGTCGAATAGATAAAAGTGCGATAGGGAACTATCTGTAAATGAATTAAATAGAACTGTGATCTAGATGCAAAAATGAGGTGCATGGAGTGAGCATTGTACCCCTTTCGATGAAACTTCTGACGACTCTGGCATTATAGGGATTACGTCCTCGAGTGACACCCCGAGGGTCCGCTATTGCGTTATAAAGCTCCATCATGAACTGCGGCGGTGATGGTTGAATAGTCCTGCGATTGGATCTTTCGTTTTGACCAGTAATTCCAAAAATCTGCAAAATTAATTAAACTCCCAGTATGATAGGAAATGTGTTACTATAATCAATCGTTATTTGTAATCATCAAAATTGTATTCTGGACCTTTTGTAACTTTTCCAGGGCTTTCTCACGTTCGTTCTCGACGTCTTCGGAAGGGAAGGAAGTGCCAAACTCCTTAATCAAGTCACCATCGATCTCTTCCTCATCCTCCTCGTCGCCCTCACCAGGGAATTCAGTCGGCTGAGCTTGGTGTAGCTCAATTACAGTCAGGATGAGAAGCAATAACAAAAATATTGTCCCTCTCATCATAATACTACTGAAGAAAATTCGTAAGACACAAGCTATCTGTTTCACTGGTCCAGCCAAGCCAAGAGTCCAGAACCGGAAGCACGTGGAACATGAGAATCCAAAAACGCAGATATTATACTTGTCAAAGGGTGACTGACGCCGAGCAAACGAGGTCAAAAAAAAACCTTAACAAATAGTTAGATCATTTAGGAAGACGTCCAAGAGGATCCCTACGCGGAGACCGGTCAACAATCAACTGGATGAATAGGAACGCACGATTTTCCAGAAGTGGAGTGAAAATCACTATGAATACTTTACCGAAAGAGGCGTACCGAGTTGATGCTAAGTGGCATATGGGAGTTCCTGGCCAGGAGAGCTCTCATTTATGCTATGCCAACTGGGTAGAGGCTGTGGTCACTCCCCACCTCATAGCCCTCACACCACTGGCGCTACTGACAACACCACCCACGCGAATGAACCCCACATTCGGGAACTTGATCGAGAACGAGTAGGATAAGGAGGTTGCACGTCGTCCAATCCACTTCTCGCTCCTCCGTCCCTCGATTATCGTCGCAACAACTATACAGGAATTGTCAGAGTAGATTAAGTGACTAACAACAAGACACGAGGGTAGACGCCACCGATGTTTACCAGCATCTTATGCTTTTATTTACGACTGAGTTCTTCAATATCATGATATATTTACCAGAATCGCCCACGGTCTTAGCAAGTAGGCGCCGCACTGGATTTTATTCAGAATCGTTGACGTAGCGTCGTTCTTTCGACTGCATTCCGAAGATGCCAACCCGTTTCCCTCCCGCCCCATGGACCCGTCAAGCGAATTCCGGGCGAATATTCAGCCAAGAAATCTCGTACGTTTTCCTTTCTGCAATGTCCATTTAATAGCGCGTTTCATGCAGTAGCATCTCTATGCAGGAATATGCAGATATTTTATATTTTTATATATACAGCATTGCATGTTGAATTCTCGAATTTGTTTTGCATGAAATAATCGTAGGACGCAAGGTGAAACTTGAAGCTTTTTATCGCCCACTCGAATTAACAGATTCGTCTCAATTGACCAGTTTACAACTTCCTTCATAGAACTGGACAATTTTGCACGAGTGCCGTGTAATAGCACTCAATTAGCTTACTTCGGTTAGAACTGCTTGATCGTTTTCACGCCTTGGATTAAGACGAGGACCACGATCATGAAATTATGCATGCACATCAACAATTGATCCGTAATTCAGATGATCGAGTGATCTTTATTTTTTGTTTATCTTCTTTGTTCATCCAATAGGTATTAAACGCATGCGCACTGGCTGATCGCGATGATCTCTCGTTTGGTGCCTCTGCGAGATCTGAAAATCGAATTGAGTAAAGGACAATTCGACAGGGATCAGACTCTATTCGTTACCTGTACTCGTGTATCTTAAACTTGGCCGGCGTACAAGAGTGTTGCTTCGAGTAGAGACCAGCCAGACATCGTGTGGGTTCCTTCTTGTGTCGGAGAAGACAAGTCTCGGTTTCCCTGCCAGGACAAATTCCGACGCACTGACCTACGTCTATTGACTGCAAAAGAATTTAGAAAATTTCCAACGCCATATCAATAATATTCTCTCATCTTTCTCACCTTGACAATAGGCTTCACGTCGCTTGTATTACTGCCTTGTTTGATTTCCACTTCACTGAAGTCCAGTATAGTCTCAATCTGATTCATTCTGTAGCAGTTACTACCACAGCCGCACTCGTCAATTACCTGATGCACTTCATCTCCTGTTGGGCGAATAAAGAGACTTACTTTTTTTTTTATAGACGATTAACTGCACTTAACGTGCTTGAGAGACGGTATAAAATGTCTTACCGTTTGGACCAATGATGCTGATGGTCCTGTTCCTCAGCGGCTTACAGCCGAGGTCTTCCTTGTCAAATATATTCGATAAAGAAAAAGAAACCTTGAAAAAGTCTAATTAGGAAGCTACCTTAAAACAATACCTTTGGCGCAATGACCTGTGCACAGACCCACGTCCATGTCAATCTGGTGCGGAGTTCCAGGGTGAAGAACGTGAACGTATGACTCGCGAGTGCAAGATTGTTTGGTCGCGCAGTCGCAGCTATCAATGGCCTCGATAACTCGTACCCCCTGAACAGTCGACACCCTCTCCAATCTGGCACGACTTGGACGACAGTGCCAGTCCGGTGGACATCTCTGCGAACGTAAAGAATCCTAACATAGCAGTGGGTCATGCCTGCAGCAGTGCAGTGACCCGAAACGATGCGACCTTCCAAGGACGCAGGAGAGCATACAACCAGAGAGCGAACCAAGAGAAATAAAAGAGAATAATAATTACACTACCTCCACGGCTGGTCGACTGGCATCTCCAGGATCATCAAAAGCATGCCTCGGGCAGAGTCTTCGGCAATGTCCAGCATCAATTTGTATTACTTCTCCAGATATGCCTAGCAAAACATACCAGAGGTACAGTGAGTCGAATAAAACAAAATAAAGATCAACGAGTATAAAAGGGCGTGCTCGTGGAGCAACCACTTTATGCATGACAGTCGTCGCTAGATAAAAGAGGAAAGATGGTGAACGTCGGAGAGGAAGAAAACGCTACGCATAAATTCATACTTGGCCCGAAGTCGCGTTACGGAGGATTATTAATGTCTGGCAATTGTGTAGAAAACATGTTTAATTTAAGAGGCGTATTAAATTCAAAGCTGGCAGCAGGGGGCCGTAATGTAACTGATCGTGAGCTATTTTTGGCCCGGCTGTATGGAACTCTGGAATGCGTGGGCAGTACGCAGAATGCAGCAAGCAGCACGCAACAAGCGTCGTTGCACCGGTAATTTTTTGTTTTTCGCCACTGGCTTCCCCTTCCTCGAGGCTTTGGATCCTCTTATAGTCATAATTTTCACTGCCAACAAATCGAGCGATATTCTGTCCGAGTTATCCGTGTCTCTCAAGCATCCTTGCTTTTAAATTGACTAAATGGTCGCTCCGCAATGATTCCATTCATGAAGATTGCGCCAAGGCAAGGGGTAATCGGAACGACGACGTCTACAAGGATCTGCGTCACGATTTTCAACTCACCGTATCCGACGTCTATCATCTTTTCATGCCGTGCACAGCAGAGATGCTGCCGAGCGTCGTCAGAGTGACTTTTCGCCGTTCCAGTTCTGGACGATTCTTCATTCTCATCAGAAGCTACAATGCAACAGGACAAGATTTGGATTAGCTCCAACTGACACCGGAAGAGGATTTTCTACTAAATCTTGTCTGCCTACCTAATCGCATATGTAGAAGACAAAGGAAAGCCAAGACGCCGACGACTCGCCAGGATCCTCTAGTGCCTCTCATTGGTGTGTCACTCTCTCGGACAGTAGTCTAGGAAGCAGCCCTCAAGTCCACAGTTCTTTTTGGGATGGATGTTCCTTTTGCACAAAGATCGACGCACCTTCCAGTGAGACACGATTCTGCTAATAGTAATTCACGGGGAAGGACTAGAGCTTTTTAGAAACCGTGTACCTCGGCTCCTGGAAGAATAAATCTGACTAGATAAGCAAGGAATTAGCACGAGAGTAGGAAGATACGGGTTTTCGCGATATTTCGGCGACTCCCTTACGAAGGCACGTGCGAATATGGAGCGTCCACTGTGCGTTCGATCGATCGATAGGGTGATCGATCCCTTTGTTCCTCCTTCGCTCGGTTGGCCACTGTTGGCCACTGCTGGCTACGCAGGTTGCTATGGGTTGCGATCTGCGGGAAGACTGACTGCTCGAGATCTGATGGAGATCCGGTGATGGCAGCCAGTGACAGCTGTCTATTAATCTCATATGTATGAGTCGTGTCCAGTTCAGACCTTTCAATTTGCAAATACTTTATAACCTGAATAGAATATTGACAACTCTTTCTTACAAGTTTTTGTCAGTCACCCTGATGCCAAGAATATACATATGTATTCTACCACGATTGTCAACCTTCTCAACATTAACTTTAAACATTCTTGTCCCTTCAATTATCCGACAAAGACAATATTACATTCAACGTGCATGTCAGTGGTAATTTTTCAGTAATTTTCATATTGACAGTATTGTTAAATTGACGATACATACATGATTGAGATATAACTAGTAACATGCTCCTTTCATGTAACACTGATTGTGAATTTGCTGAGTATTGATTCATTTTACGTTCTACTCACCTTGCCAAGCTCCGACTTATGGAATCCATGAGGTGCTAGTGCATCTAGAAAATAATATATACGTGTGTGTGTATATATATATATATAATGTTTGAACAGTACTGTATTTTTAACCGCAACATCCCTCTCGATCTTCCACTCATAATTATTCCAATGAATCACGAATGAAAGTTATACAAATTAACAAATTACTTTTCCATCATAAGATAATTTGATGATTAATTGTCAAATCTATTTTAATTTTGTAATAGATCAATGAAACGGATATTTTAGTGTTGATAACTATGGAGATAATTTCATCATTATTATCGTTCTATTATTGCTGAGAATATTTTACCCGCAGAAGGTATATATCTGGAATACATTTAATACGGCTTATTTTAGTTCCCTTAAGCAATAAGTCTATCTAGATGGCGTTTACTATAATAATATCTGGAACACTAATCTAATTTCATCCAACTAAAATTAATAATGTCTGCAAAAAGTAAGAAGAATCAAAAACTTTGGTGTAGCTGTAATCAGTGTAATGTACTTCTGACAGCTAAAGAAGAAGCTGTACACAAAGTCAACTGTCCACCATCTGCTGTAAAATGGAAACACAGTTATATCAAACAAGATCCAGAACGCTCTGTGCTTTACAGTACTATAGAAATTTACAAACCCCAAGGTATTTCAATAAAAATATGAATTTGTATTATTTGTAGAGAATTTATTAATATCTTGCATGATGTACACTTAGAACGACCAAAAAACCTTTCGGAACGGGAATTGAATGACATGGTCTTCATTGCTCAATCTACTATGCAGTTATGCAAAATAGCAATTGGAGAACCAGTTATATTGATTACCGAAGACACAACAGTTGTGGCAATAGCTTGGCCGACAGCAGATAAATCGTTACTAAGTGTCTCAATGACAAAGAATGGTAAGACTTTAGATTTAATTAATAAACTTTTTTCTTGATTCATATGAAGAAGCAATGAGATATTTTGATATTACGTGTGTTACCGTTACAGCGATTGACCTTAAAAAAGTGCAAGGTCTAGTTAAGGTTGAGAAATTAGACCCCAATGTCAGGATTGCACGTGAGATAACAATAGAAGCATTAGGGAAACAGCATCCAAGCAAAGTGTCAGCAGAGTTGGATGTACTGATAAAGAATTATAACGAAGGGCGAATATATTGTATTGGCAATAGAATAAGCATACCTTTTTATGGACAAAAGTTGTTATATCGAATTGCTGATATCAAATTAGAAAAACCAATAAACAACCAAGAGATCAATGAGAAGAATATTCGGAAAAATCTGGCAGAAGAATTAGAGAATTTGAGCATCGATGAAAATGCTGATAATGAAAGAATATTTCATAACGAGAAGAATTATGAAAGCAGCGAAGTTAATGAAAAAGGAAACAAAAGTCAAGAAGAAAATTTAGAATTCTTTAAAGCTGTCTACTCCACAAAGTGGAAAATTCTTCAGGGGAATGATGAAAAAGTAAATCGTAAAAGAGTCAAATGCAGCGTAAGTGATATTGGTGGTTACGATGATCTCCTAGCTGATATTCGTGATGTGATGGATATCGGTCTTGGCAGGTATAGAAATATCAAAGGATTTGGTATCAGTAAAGGATTATTATTATATGGAACAGCTGGGGTTGGTAAATCCATGATAGCGAATGCACTGATATCAGAATATGATGTCGAAGTGTTTGCTATCAACAGTCCAGAGATTTACAGCAAATACGTAGGTGAAACCGAAGCGCGACTTAAGGCTATATTCGAGGAAGTAAAACTTAGAGCACCAAGTATCATCCTCATTGAGGACATTGATAATTTCTGTCCTAAGAGAAGTAGTACGAGCTCTGAACAAGAAAAGCGAATTCTTGGAACGTTGGTTTCGTTTTTTGACGACCTCCAGGAATTGACGGATCCTCGAGTTCTCGTCCTGGCAACGACTTCGCGATTGGAATTGGTCGATCTTACTTTACGACGACCTGGTAGATTCGATAAAGAATTTGAAGTGTGCGTTCCGACGCCACGTATGCGTCACGATATCTTTGTTAAATTTTTGCTAAGAGTATCGAACACCCTCACCGAAAAGGACGTGCGGGATATAGCCTTCGTTACACACGGATTCGTTGGGGCAGATCTCTATGCTCTTTGCTCCAGAGCAGCGATTCATGCGATAAAACGACAGCAACAACGAGAACTTTGTACAAAGGATATTGATGATAGTGAACCACGACTTACCATACAGGACTTCTCCTATGCTCTGACCGCGATAAAACCATCAGCGATGAAGGAGGTCTTGGTGGAGGTGCCAGACGTCAAATGGTCAGATATTGGTGGTCAAAAGGAATTGAAGTTGAAGTTGAAGCAAGCTGTTGAATGGCCACTCAAACATCCTGAAGCCTTCACAAGGTTGGGTATAAGACCTCCAAGAGGAGTTTTGATGTTTGGTCCTCCAGGTTGTTCCAAGACGATGATCGCAAAAGCACTGGCTACTGAGAGTCAACTAAACTTCCTCAGTATCAAGGTAACACGACTTAGTACTGTCCTACAGCATTTAAGTATTTACTATCTTTTTTCTTAAAGGGCCCAGAACTGTTTTCAAAATGGGTCGGCGAATCCGAGAGAGCTGTGAGGGAGGTATTTCGGAAAGCCAGACAGGTTGCCCCCTCCATAATTTTTATCGATGAAATTGATGCTTTGGGTGGGGAGAGAATGTCTTCCTCGAGTTCTTCCGGCAACAATGTTCAGGAACGTGTCCTTGCCCAATTACTTACTGAACTCGATGGCGTTACTGCCCTAGGAAATGTAACCCTGCTAGCAGCGACTAACAGACCTGACAGAATTGATAATGTAACTACCACCCAATCTTTCTTAATAATTTGTACTTTCACATACATCATATATATCCTTTCATTTGGTGCAGGCATTGTTGCGACCTGGTCGCTTCGATAGAATTGTCTACGTGCCGCTACCTGATGCGGAGACCCGACTGGAAATCTTCCAGATAAAACTCAAGAAAATGCCAGCAGCATCAGATGTCCGGGTACAAGATCTCGTTGACCTGACTGAAGGTTATTCAGGAGCAGAAGTGGAAGCCCTCTGTCATGAAGCAGCGATGAAGGCGCTGGAAGAGGATTTGAATGCTGTGACTGTCACTAAAGAACACTTCAAGGCTGCGCTCGCAATTGTCACCCCTAGGACGCCACCGTCGCTGATAGCTCTCTATCAAAATTATATTAATAAAATATAACAAGGGTTTTGCTTTGTTCGTACTAAAATTTCAATATTTTACTTTTTCATTGTTTCTATTACGCAGTTGATTTTTCTGACCACTGGACACTTGATAGTCTTTGGCACATGACAGCATTTATTGAGGATGAGGCAAGCGGTACGTTTACCGCGATAGCAGAGACCAAAATTAGACTTTAAATGTACATACAGTACACACTAATTGTAAGTAGAGCAGTTGTGCCGAAGAGCAGTGAAGAAAATGCAAGAGGAAAACCAACGAACGTTCTTAGAACCCCGATGACATTAATAACCGCAGAGATAAGAGCACCGCATCCGTTACATTCTGCTTCCGATCTTCTCCATATAAATACAGATAAAAAATTTCGAGACTACACTTGTGATCAAAGCACCATCGAGAGAGCACAAGATGAAGGCGATTCTTTTGACAATGTACTTCTGTATAGTTCTTCGAGGAACGTTATCGCAATTTGTGAACGAAGATACCGACACAGAAATTGGTAAGTAACTGATTTAATCCTGACTCTGTACTCATGAATCGTATTTGTTCGTATTCCTAAGAGTATCGCGATTCGTCGAAAACTAACGAAGTTCGTTAATCACTCAACTCTTTTATTAATAAAAAAAATGTTCTTGTTTCAGATGTTCTTCCTATCTCTCGGGTACCACCAGGCTATATGTAAGTAATATGCACAAACTGAGAACCACGAAATTAATAAATTTGTTTATAACCGAATCCAGAGAGTAACAATTTTTCTATAATTTTAGAGAGCACGGCGGAAAGTATTATAAGCTTTATACAGATCGGAAAACTTGGGAGGAAGCTCTTGCCGCGTGCGAGTCAGATGGAGCCGACCTGGCTGTAATAGATTCCCGCGAGGAAGCACTTTATGTAAAATCTCTTATAGGATGGTCATCCTTTTTGGAATATCCTGGAGTCTGGATCGGGTTCCGCGATTTGGGCAACAGAGATTGGAAGACAGTAGGAAGACACTCTGAGTCTCTCGATAACACAGGATATAACACTTGGTGGCCTAGAAGTGCTAAACTTATCGGTGGTTGTGGAACCATCAAAACCTGTTCGCGTTACGATGCACGTGACTGTACGCAACTTCTAAAGTTCATTTGCAAGTATGAAATATAATTTCTCAATTTATCTGAATAGAATTATTCTAAACGCTTCACACGCATTATATTGATTATATTAATAAATACATTAAATAAGGTAGCAGAGAATCCATGAACGTGTTTGTTTATTCTTCCTTGCGCCTTTGTCCAGAAAAATGGTAAAAGAATCTGATCAGCAACGTGCACCAGCTACAAAAGTACACAACATTCGTGCAACGAGCTTCTTCCCATTCTCGGACAATTCCTTTATACATTTCATTTAAGTAATAAAAGATGCTAATTTTGTTTAAATATATATGTGTATATATATATATTTCTTTCACAGCATTATTAGCGACGATACAGAAAATTGTACAGTGAGGCAAACAAGGAAAAGATTTATCTTGTAAACGATCGTTAATACATTAATTGTATTAGACAAGTGCAATGATAATAGTGACAATGACAGTTTACCATCGTCATCATTATCATCATCATAACAATAATAATGAATAATAATAGTGGTAGCACTAAAAGTAGTAGTAGTAGTGGTGGTAGTAATAGTAGTAGCAATAGCAAAATAATGATTGTAATTGTAATTGTAATTGTAATTATAATAACGATAAGGGCAATGAGAATAATATAAGGGAGCAGGCGAGGATAAAAGGAAAAGGAATGGGATGGGAGTTCTGGATGAATAGGTAATTTAGGGAACTCTTTTATTATATTAATCACATTTGTAATATAAAAAATTGGAAATGTCTTTTAGTGGTTTTGTCTAAAACCGCGCGGGCTTTCAAAAATGTTAATTTTTTTTTCACCGTTTTAGACAAACCCGATATTATCAGCGATTTCTTTTTCAATCTGTTCGTATCAAGCTACCTCAAATTCCAGGAACACGAGAAAATTCCGATACGAGATATACGATTTCGCCATAGACTCAACGGAGTCGAATTCTTTTTTCTTTCTGCCACAATGTCGAACAAATTGCATGTATGACTTGTGCCATATAAACGTAAAACTAACTTTGATTATTTTTTTTCCATTTGCTCTTTAATTATTTTTTGCCCGCCTATTATCAACAAGTTACTACGTAGCTCTTTTTTATCCTGCCTTTTCTAATACGCCCTTCTTTCTGCCATTCTATTTTTAAGTTTCATCCTTTCTATACAAACGTAGAAGCCGCCACGCATCAACTAGCATTTAACGTGGTAATAAGAAATCGCATTTAGTGGAGAACGAAGAATCGACCAATATTTACACAATATATTCTCCGTCCTTTTCTCTCTATTAAGGAAACGCTTTTTACGTTCTTATTTTGTGTAGCTAGGGACAACTTCTTTACTTTCATGGTTATCCCCAGGAAGGCAGGAATTTCAGAAACGAAAACAAAAGCTATACATCTTTGATTTGCATAATTGCACTCGTGTAATAATGCTTACGGAGCTTCTCGTAAAAAGACGACAGGCGGGTGGCTTTCTTAGAGAAGCCAGAGATAAAGGAAAGTTAAAGTACGAAAAACAATAAAAACGCCGTCAAACAATCTTCCATGAACACGCGTATAATATGTGCTGATATATTAGGATCTATAAAAACTTAAACGAACGCCTGGGACGGGGCATTAATTAATTGTATTAATAATTATCAGGTTAGTTTTCTTCTCGATACAATAGGTAAGTCTTTGCCGTGTAAATTCCTTGTGAATTGTCTTTTCTTTTTTTTTTTTTTTTTTTTTTTTTCACTGCAACTGACTGCGCCTGGCTGCGACTGAGAAAGACCCTGTTGCATGTGATTCGTACCGCGAACATAAAATCTCATTTGAAAATGATCGGATGGATCCTGCGCGATTTCATTGTGTTGACTTTTTATAGTGCAGAAGGGAACCTCGTCTCGTTACGTGAGTTCCGGCGGACTCACGTTTATACGTTTCCTCGATGAAAGAGCGTTTGACATTACTATGCTTTATGCGTTGAGCTGCATAAGAGCTCAATGATATTCGGCGATACTCTTATAAATTTATTCTTGTCAAAAAGCCAAAGACCACGACTGCTCGGTTGAGCGATAAGAGCTTCAACCACTTCCGGTTAGAGCCGGAAAGGAGCTCTTTGATCGATAGGGGTTGGCTTCCCCTTGCGAGTAGTTGGTGTCGTCCCTGAGACGGAAGTGTCGGAGGCTCCAGAAGGCTTCCTCGAGAGTTTCGAAGATGGCGGTAGTGGCGTGCTGGATCCACTGGACGGCGTTCTAGTCCTGGAGTTCAAGGAAATTAAATAAAGAATAAATTAGATGGATTAATCACGGTTAAGCTTTCGTGAGAAATTACATTGTTTTTCCCTCATTCTTTCTCTTTTTCCTCTATTTTCTCGCATTACTCAATGTTTCATCGTGCTACCACGTAGAAGGTATCGACAATGGTTGAGGCTGAAGAAGAGAAAGATGAGACACAAACGAAAATTACCTAGCTGATTGCTTGACAGCTGATGGGATGTTAGTGTCCGAACGTGTGCACACGGAGCTGCTCCTAGCATTGCGAAGATACATGGTTAGTGCCAAAGAGCTTTAAGACAAGAAGCATCAAGCGAAAGTAAAATTTGTTTAAATTCTATACAAATGAAAATAAAGCATTGTATACGTTTGTTTTTTTCTAATCAAAATTATCTCGTTCAAAGCTGTAAACCTAATCGTTGTTATTAATTGTCCAACTATCTTATATAAATATTGATCACTTGTATCGTTATGCTATGTACCAAGTGTTGGCAAGTACATGCAGCATGCATCACACAAAGGGGTTTAGCACATACTCAAAAAAGAAAAGCAACAGAAAGATCTGTTGGCTTAGAGGTACGATGGCCTGAGAACACTCGACGATAAAATAAACAGCAAGGATATTGAAAAAGGGCTGACGCTGCACACGATAAGTAAGCCGGAAGTCGTGCATACCCAGTAGAATCGGTAGAAATGGTAGAATTGTTGCTTTGTGTCGAGTGAGTTGAAATATTGCTTGTTGTAGATTGAGGGGATTTTATTTCCGGTCCAACGTACACCGGAATCCTAGAGCGGCTAAACCGTTGACAATTCCATCACCATCGTCATCCCCATCAATATCAACATCACCATCACCAACAGCAGCATGAGAAAGACAGAGTATTTGGCATTTGGATAGAGTAGCAACAAGATTCGTAAAAGACATCGCGATATTGACACACACTTTAGAAAACAGGAGGAATCATTGGGAGGGATGATTTATCAGAATATCATTATTCGATAACCACCCACTATAATTGTCACCATTGACAGCAATGTCGACCAACAATCGCCAGGATGTTTCATGCCTTCCCAGTTACCAATTATTTACAAATGATGTTTTCAGAATAAATTTAGGAACACCATTATTGGACTTCCTGCTAAACCTGGTAGACCTTATACTAAGTTTTGACGAATCATATTATACAACCGAACCACCACCTTTTCGTTAAGCTCAATGTACAGGCCGATAAGCAACTAATGATTGTTAATTTTCCTTTACCTAGTCACTGTTCCGACATCGGTCAGGGTTGGTATGCTCGAGGCCCGATTAACGATTGAACCAAACCTAAAAACGGGTATTATGTCGGCGGTTAATTGGCGTTAAATTTTTAAAATTACTTTTCTATAGCAGCAAGTAATGGTCGACGCATCCTTATCAGATACTCTGATCTGAATTATTATCGGCGAATATTAAAATCAGTACGGCTAAAGTAGTGGTAAGGATAATAGAAAGGATAATCAGAGAGAGAAAGATAAAATATAATCGCGTAGATAAACAAATGCATATGCAGTTAGAAATTAATGCAGTTGTAACGCGGCTAATGGAATTAATGCAGTTAACGCAATCAATGCAATTGGAGCGACATAGTTAGTATTCTTCGATCGAATCAGAACTCTTCCATCCAAGATGTATAAGACTAGGAATTCCAGTGGTCAGGAGCACAGGAAGTACTAAAAGAATGAAAATTAAAATCAAGCAAACACACACCTGTTGGACAGTCCCTTGGACGCGCTGACAGTGCCAGTAGGGGTGCGTGGCCTTGAACTAGATCCGTTAACCGGGGCTCCAAGTCTGGTACCCGAAATGCTGTTGTGTCGACTGGAGGTCGGGGTGTTGCCACTGGTACCACCAATGGTTCGCCGTGGGATGCGACTCGGAGTCCCAGCTTCATCTATGAAAAAGGTCAAAGGGCATTGTTTAAGATGATTCAAGAGAATTTTCGTCAACCGATGCTTTATTAAATCAAAAAACAAAAGTTAAATTACCGGTATTATCGAGGGACTGATTGGAACCATAACGGCTCGGAGGTTTGCTACCCTGCCTGGAAGCTGGTCTGCTGCTTGGTCTACTGGTAGGCCTTGAAGCTGGTCGGGAAGCTGGTCTGGAAGCAGGTCTACTCGAAGGACGGCTTCCACCTAGAGACAGAGAAGAGGAGGATGAAGTATTGGAATTACTGTTCAGCCAGATATCAAGTAAACTGAATAAAAAATTATTCTTACCAGGAGTCAAAGAGCTTTTATATGGAGTGCTTGTCTTTCTTGCAGACAACCTGAAGGAACCCTCGTTGTCGCTGAGACTGTCAGGTGTTCCGGCACTGAGAGAGGAACGCGATGCCCTCGTTTGTCCACCCATGGGTACGCTGCGTACACTGCGTTCTCTCACCTACGAGAATTGATCGATAAATCAAATTGTTCCTGGGCTTTCAGTAACTAATAAGATAAAGAAATGAAGTATGGCTGCTGCTGACACTAGTATCACCCTTATCTTCGAGTTTTACCTGAATCCAAAGACAAGTATTTTACTGCAAGTGCACAAAGAGTGCAGAAGCCATACTTCAATTATATATAATTAGTATGGCAGTAAAGTGAAACAAAATAAATTACGTACCCACTGCTCCTGCCAATCGATATTAGCCTCAGAAAATTCTATTGTACTTTGAAAATACGACCCAAGACGCGCGGTTTAATAAATCGTCCTAAACGACTTTAAAGTCTCATGGAAATTGAACTTGACGGACTTTATTTCTCAATTACCCCTCAATTCATTCGATCGTTCATTCGATCATGCATTAATGCCCACAGTCGTTCATCTCTATCCATTTAGTACGTTCATTTCTCTATCGCAGACTGTAGGAATAATCTATCTCGTCAACCACAATAATTAAGCAACTGTTTCCATAAGGTCCATGCAAACTTACCACAAGGAGTTGGGAGAGATACAGTAGCTTATGGTGATTCGAAGTGTCTCCAATCAACGCCACTATGCACGCATCAATCAACATATGACATGTATTATGTTCGTTCAGAAAACTACGATTGCTTATAGTTTCTAAGCCGGAAATACATATAGTAGATAGATTACAGTGGTATCTATAACTATACGAGTATGTATCCAAGTTAATAAGTATAGGGTAAATATTAAAGTGTGTAAGGGGTGAATTAGAGTCTGGAGGGCAGGACCGGCTGAAGGGCTAAGAGGAGCCCGACACCATAAGACTTCCAATGTCCATTCATGCACGAGGCTTAGAAGTGACATTTTACAGAAAAATTGACACGAGTTGGGCCCACTAGAATTTCGAGGCATTCAAAATGAATCGTCCAATGAAATCAAAGGAAACAAAAGCGGAGAACTGGAAAGAAAATTTTGTAAAAAAAAAAAACAGGATAAGGGTAGGTTGTAGATGTTGGTGAATCACAGTCAGGTATGGTTTGTGTGGGGAATTCGTGTGTTACTCTACATTGACATTAACTATTGCTGCCATACTGGAGCCGTATACCTACTGACAATGACTTTTGTTTCTGCAAAGAGGGAAGAGGAGAGATGAAAAGCTATTTCAAACTTCCTTTCCCCCATCGTCACCAAAGTCATCCTTACGTCATCCGGTCTACTGTACATGAACACGCACATCAAACACGCGCAGGCACACTCGACGTGCGACAATAAGGGCAACGCAAAACAACGAGAACGTAAAACCAAAAACGAACAATAAAATAATAATAATAATAATAATACTGGTCATCGCGATAACGATGACAAGAGCAGAAAGAATGAGTTATTTACCCAGTGGTAAGAGGGGGCGTGCATGTGGAGAGGATACGAGCACGGAAGGTCCTCCTTTTGCCTCAAACTCTCAAATATCGGCATCAGCTGGTTCATAAACTCCTCCGCTGTACCATAAACCAAAAGTTTAGATATAAACTGCCTGAGGATCTCGTCTGCTCAGCGCAGACACGAAATAATACAGCCAATGCGTTTCGTTGCCACCGAGGTAGCTCAGCGTTGACCAACAATATGTTTCTGGAAAATTGTAGGAAGGACGGCTGGCCTTGCGTAGGTATATATGCTAATCAAGAAAAACACTGTAGAATAACCTAAAAATGGACAGTGACAATTATAATGGGAAAATCCAAGGCAGAACGAGTCGACTGTGCTGCTACCTGCCGTCCTTCCACAAGAACTCGAGCAAACGCTCAAAAGAGAGACGAAGTCAGCTCGGGGTGTCGTTCTCTCCTTAAATCGCACCTCCTGAGGTTAAGGCATACACAGTTTTCGAATAGTCGTTACGATTGCCGCTACGTCATTCTTACTGATCTACAAGAACCATTTCCATATCGTGACTGTGACGAGATAGCGTGGTGATCGTGACTCGTCGTCGCTGACAATAACCGAGGAGAAGAAGCGTGCCTACTTGAAACTGAAAGTAAAAGGGTTGCTCGTGCGTGCTAAAAGAGTGTTGTGATACGTGAAAGGGATAATCGTGCCCATGCCAGCAAAACACACAATCGGGTAAACTCCAAGAGGAGAGAGACGGGTCTATCCGCCATATTGAATAAATCCTTGTGCCAGGGATCCATCATCCATCATCTACGTCTACCGAATGTACAACCCCACCATCTCCTTGGAGCATCTCTTCACCCTGCCTACTGCTCTCCCACTACTCTATTCCTACTTACCAAGGTATTATCGTTGCAAGATCTCACAATCTCATACGGTCCATTTGTTCTCCTCGTGAAATTCTTGACTTTAGCGAAAGCGAACGTACGAATGAACGAGAGCCAATCTCCACTACTGGGTATGTACGTACAGCGATCGAAAGTGGATGAGCGATAAGAGGAAGTGGATTTAATGGGAAGTGAACTGTGTCCAAGAGCCAAGGTCAGGAGTGCCGGAGGAAGAAGAGTGACAGAGAAGCTGATCGTCAGAAACGCCTGTAATCCTTGCCGATATTTTTGGTCCACGAGTCAGTCTCCGTCCGTCCGTCCGTTTATCCATTTATCTGGCTGCGCCTTCGTTCTCTCGTTCGTTCGTTCGTTCGTTCGTTCCATGAACCTAAGATTACCTTCGTGATCGGGCCTGCGGAAGACGTTGGCGTACGTTGCAGGGTCGAGGTCGGGCTCGGTTTGGACCTGAACGCCGTCATAGTCTGGCTGACGCCATCCGCCAATATGAATTGTTCCCGCAGCTCAATATTCGTTCTTCCCTTGGCTACAGTGTGTTGCGTGCACGCAGTTAGTGGGAGAGGCGTTATGGGATTTACAGATGAGGAAACGGATGTTCTCATGTATGAGGGTATTTGGTTTTGTACAGAGAGTGGCAGTGTGGATTTTGTTTTTATGTTTTTGTATGTGACGGAGGAGGAGAAAGAAATAAAAAAAAAAAGTCGCCAAATCAAAGAAAATATTATGGGGATTTCGTTGATTCGGGACAAGGACGATGAATGGAGATTCGGTAATAGCGGTACAAATTCCATTTTTTTTACAGATGTACAATATCGAGGCATGCGGATTAGTGATTTTCAGCGGATATTTCAATTGTGCGGAAAAACGGAAAAAAAAAATTCGTGAAGGAGCAGAAAGACGAAGCGATTGTCACGTGAAATTTTGTGTGTGTGTGTGTGTTTGTGTGACAGAAATATTATAGGTATGTGCGTGCAGGCATAAATATGTCATGTATATGTAATCGTGTTGGTGTGGCGTTTGTGTGCGTGTCGTTGGGAATGAAAAAAAAAAAAGAAAAAGAAAACAACGTCTTTAGATTGGATCAAAGAACGTATTGCGTGTACAGGACTCTGTTAAGACCAAACCTACGAGACAGAGCTTTGACGACTGTCAAATCTGACTGATATTTTTGAACTTCACAGTCCTGTACAAGAACAAATGTAATGCGGCATAAATAAATACGAATAATCGATGTGACATACAACGGTCCAGTGGCGGCCACTGCGTCAGCGTGTAATACAATATACAACCATTTGGAGTTCTCGCAAAATTTAGCACAATTCTTCTCTATATATTACACTGTATTACACTCTAAGCAAAGAGCACCAAGAACCGGACACCGAGTAACGTGTACCGGAGGTAAGAGGCAATACTATAATGCTACATTATATCAAAGTTTGAAACGTGAAACAGATCGGCAGTGGCATTCTATGTATGAATTAAGAAAATATAATTAACTTCCGATTCGGATTGTTGTTTCACGTTACAAACGGTAACTAGAAGGTACGAGCGATGGGAGAAAAAAAATTAAAAAAAAAAAAAAAAGTCGCCACATCGATCCAGTACAAACGCCAACCACCATGCCAAAAACTAACAATAAATAAAGTATGGTTAAGTGAATTAAAAAAAAAAAAAAAAGGAAAATCAAGCTCCCAAAACACCATACCGTTGGTCGAACAGAGAATCGCGCTGCTCCGCATATAGACCTAAGTAAAAAAAATCTTAACCCTCTACTACCTTGAGCCTACCGAACGGCGAATAAGAATGATGGTAAATATGATGAATTCATTAATTACGACCGATCGATTCTATTTTTTAAAACGTAAATTCCACCGATCCAGGGTGCGTTCCGTGAAGTAGAATCCCTGATAAAATGTCTATAAGGAAAACAAAGAAACTGACACAAATGAAATACAGCTCTGACGATGAACGTTAATGTGCTGCATGCAACGCATGAAAAGAAACACGGCTGACGGTGGCTACAGATATACATAGTATATGCATGAAATAACATAGAAGATGGTCCAGGATGCTGTAAAGGCATATGCGTCAGATATGAAAATAGGTTAATCGTCGTTAGTTATGGTTGCAATTTTCAAGAGTCTGAGGTCATCCGGGTACCAATTGGTTCACGTAAGACATAAGAAGACGAAGTTATGAGAAAAGATATGTATGTATATCTGTAGATATGTGACTAATCGTGAGATGACTGAAGCAGCCTTACCGAGCGGACACCAGCCCTCGTGCTGCTCCGGCTTGTTAGGATCCGGTATTGGCATTAGGAAGACTTCAGTAGTGAATTAATGGGAAATGACGATCGACTCGCAAGCGGAGTTTATCGAGTGGGACGAAGCGGGATGATAATGTTGAATCATTGATGTAACACATAAAGGCGCAAACAGAGATAAACGTAAACCGCGTTCCATTTCGGAGTAACAGGCGTGTGTTTGTGGATGGGAAAGGAGAATGGAAGTGAAAAAAGGCAATAAAGTTAAGTTTAGTACAGGATCAATAGACACAAGTATCATCGGCTAACTACTATTATACTATGAGTGACGATATTCCAAAAGAGACTTCGGAGACTTGAAAAGGAAACAAAACGATGACAGTGGAACGACAGCGAAGCGTGGAATGAAAATAGAAAATAAAATAAGACCTCTTTTGAAATATTATCACAATTTATCAATAATCAGTGGCTACTAGAGTTTTCAGAATTTCATTAAACACTGCCGGTGACTTCTTATTTGGCAGTGAACAATGGAGACTGACGAGAGAGATTAATAGAGAGAATTAGTGAGGAAGATTATATAGAAGAAGACAGGAGAGGAAAGTCTAAGTGTGAAACTAGCAACTAAGCAAAGCAAAATATAGCGGACATCACTTTTTTTTGTCTCTTTGTTAGAATTCGTAGTCACGTTAAGAGCGATTTGACGCTCCCGGCATAAATGCTACTATTATTCGTTATTTCGCCTCAGGAGCTGAGATCAGACGGTTAGGACATTTAGTCACACAGCACGTAGCGCCACGGTGGATTTTCATCGCAACACATTGGCATAAACAATAACGTCAATGAAATTAGATTAACGGCGTGAGAATGGTTAGAGCGATCAATGTTGCGTGCGTTTCTATGCAATATGTAGTTTAGTTGAACCGTCGAGACAAGGGACTAAACACAAATGCCGATGAACGTGAAGGGTGATAAAAAGTATAACAGACAGAGAAAACTCGTATAAATCACTGTCGGAGGTGAAGACAACGAAACGGTTTGATTAATAACAAATGAAAATCGTTTGATCGCGCTTAATTAAAGGTAGAAATAAACATTAACGTTAAGCTGCCTCTTATTGCAGGGGAGATTCTTCGATTAAATCAGTCTTTACATTCGTCATCGTCTGATAATTAACAATTTCACAGAGCTAGATCAAAGGAATTAATTTTTAATGCTTTTCTATGGGAACTTGAAGCAACGACGCGAACGCACACTCTATCATCAGTTGAAACTTCTTTCTATGAAACCGCAATCTTATTAATTATAATCGGGAAAGATCCACTTGATCACAGGGAGACTGGAGGGAGTTTATAAGATAATCCAAAGAAATCAGGATAGCAAATGTGTATCCTGATATATTTTGAAATATCTAAATCTGCCCAGGTCTCCATATGCGAAGATCGTTTTCCCAGTTTGATAAAATTATTTACTAAATTAGAATAGAAGATCAACGAGTGGAGAAACTTACCGCGGCAGGGGTCGTTCTTGAGGAGGAATTCATCCAGAGCTACCCAGCCACCACCCACTCTGACCATCACGGTAGAGCGAAGAATTCGAACGAGACGAAGCTTCTGGCTGTCGCCGAACTACATAAGGAATAGAATTACTAAGTTTTCCTAGGACATGATCCACTAAAAAAGTATATAAGTTCCGGATGATCCGCTCTACCTACCCTGTATTTTCCTTCGCCAACCTGGAACACGCGGAACTTCTGCCTGCAAGTGCAGAGCATCACGAGTCGTTTGACCTCGTCGTGTATCTTATCAGTGTCATGGTAGGTACGACGCTCTTCCCAATCGGGTCTAAGGGCGGCGATGAACTCCTTCCAATCGATCAGACCCTCACCGTGACGATCGAAGAGATCGGCCACTGCACCCATCTCGAGTCGAGATGTTTCGAATTCTAAAAAGATTTAAATAATTACAGAGGGTGACCAGATACCATTTTTTAATTTCAACTATTTTCAATTCTACTCACTGGTATTCATGATTCCTTGAATAAAGTCTTCTCGTGGTATCGATCCGTCGTTGTTCTTGTCCATCTTCCTGAAGAGATCTGTTAGTCGCGACTTCTTGTGGTTCATGAACTTCAAGAACTGTTTAAAAACGGCGTTGAGAATGTTTTTTATAAAGAATACAGTCATCAAAAATAAAAGAATGTAAGCTTACCCTCTTGCGCCAATCTTCCCAACTGAAGTTTGCGACACGATCAAGTTCCTGTATGTAATTGTACTTGTCCTGGAGTCGTCGTTGTCGCTCCCAGGCGAGCATCCAGACGTTGCGCCATCTGTCCCAGAGGAGTTTCACCCTCGGACTACGGAATTCTGGCTCTGCTCCTTTGCTGTTTATACATTAAATAATTAAACTCAGTGATTGAGCCTCGATCCTAACACAATTTTAATATCATTTTCGAAGAGCGATTGCACGATTACACGATTTCACGTTACGCGAGCAACAAATGCGTATGCATATATATTTCGTCTCATCGTCCTAAGGCTTTTTGCCAAAAGTCCCAAAGCCGAAGTTGTAACAATGAGAGAATGAGATAGAAGAATCCAGCGTTCACCTTAAACCAATAAAATTCTTCCAATAAAGCACAATTAACTTTCCTCAACCATGGACAAAATAAATTGGACAGACCGAGTAACCGCGCAACCGACGGGCATGTCGATCAGGTCGATCAGGTCGATCTGATCTGTAGAAAAGGAAAGTGAACAAGAGTGTGATTGAAAGATGGGGGTGACGAACCTTCCTTTAGGCGGGAAGCGTGGCCCGATGTGCGGCAACGAAGAGTCTGGCGTTCTGTCACGACCCGGGCTGGCTCGGCTAAACAAGAACATGCCTCACGTCACTCAACACTCTCTACTCAACTTTACTCTCTCTGCTTTATCTCTCTACTTCTTCGGTCCTTTCGATCAATTTAAGTATGTCTCTGGAAAGACTTATCTACACTGATATGAAGCTCAAAACAACTTGGTGGAATTTTCAAAAATCATACAAGTTTTTGGATCAAATCAAAATTTTTAGTGAGAAGCTACACTGGTAATGCAAGTATGGTGCACATAAGTCTTGTTAACACGTTTGCAATGTGCGTTGTTGGTCTTGCCAGTGTTGCTAGCATTAATTATAAAGATAAAGAAAGCACAAGGCAAGAAAAATGTATTAATACCTTCCACGTCGGGATGCTTGGGACAGATCTCGGCTTCCTTTGAAACTGGACAGCAACGAATGCGACAAACATTGAACGTTAAACACATGACAATGTGACAAGTGATGAGTATTTGAAAGGTAAAGAAACAAATGAAGAGATCAAAGGAGAAAGAAGGGATTACAGGTAAATCAAAAGAAGTCACATGAAGAGTAAAAGACGGTGTAAAATAAAGAGAGAATGAGGACGCACCTTTGCTTGCGCAGTGGAGAGTACTCGTGATTGTGCTCTTGATGATGATGATGATCCTTACTGTTGTCCGTTATATTAATGAAACATGCGAAAAGAAACGCGTGAGTGATGCAGAATGCACACGCAGAACACAGAGAGCACACATGAGACACGCATCAATAGTCCTTGAAATACATAAGCTTAAGAGGACAAATAAAATAAGAGAGAAAATAAAGAATGAAGAAGGGAAGAGGAGAAAATGGGAGTAGCAACAAGCAAATTCAAACTGGTATTACCAATTCCTTGTTATCTGCAGTCAGTCTGAAAATATTCTTGTTTGCAAGGCAGTGTGCTTGGAGTCGTTAGCTTGGACTATGATAACAGTAGTTAGATAGGTAGATAGAAAAGAAAGAACATAGTACGGGATGGGTTAGATTGCAGTGAACAAGGTAAATAGACGTACGCAGATGCCGATGAAAGGGGTGGCTTCGGTTTGGACATTTTGCGAGCGTCCTTGAGGGGTGGCTTGGCCTGTCTGGCCTTGCAAACACGGTCGACCTCGTTCTGTCTGCGACTTGTATTCTCCATGAATTCACGATGGTCAACAATAAGCTCCTCCAGAGCAACACGATCGTCTGGTAGAGGTTCAGCCTCCAGGGCTTTCAAGGTGTTTTCGAGACCCTCGAGCCAGGCGAGTAACTCCTCGAGGAGATTATCGAGGTCCTGAATGTGTGGAAAAAATAGATGAACGCATACTGTAGGTCTAAAGGATTAAAGGGCTGCATTAATTAGGATGAGGCTAATGATATTTACCTGAAGACCTCGCATGTGCTTCTCAAGTCGCTGGTTTCGCTGGTGACCCCAGGTCGAAACCTCGTCCCATCTAGATTGGATTATTGTGATCCAGTGTTTAATCACAGCTGCGCCATCTGGATGAGCTTTGGCAAGAATGACGTGAGCAAGTTCCAGGGTACTGTCTTTCTCAATTTCCTTGGAAGCGAGCTCACGCAAGAACTTCTCGTGTTCGATCAGCTGGTTACGACTCTCTTGCTCATCTTCCGGTAATTGTCCAGCGAAGCGGAGCTTCATTTCAGCATCACCGAGCCATTCGAGCAGCACGTGAACTGCCTTGTGAAGACGTTCGGCCTCGCGAAGAGCTTCCTCGAGACGAGCGCTCTTCGCTGAGGATAGTCGACTAACCTTTTCCCAGAGAGTGCTAACCTCGTTCAACTGTGAACGTATCGTAGACGCATCTTGAGGAGTTGCAGCCTTCGATTCGAGTTCTCTCCCTGTTTTTGTCACTGAGCCCATTTGATTGGCTCGAGATTCGAGGTCACGTTCGAAAGATTTATGTTGTTCCATAAGGTTGGTCACGGTATCGAGGTCACCATGAAGAGGGCCAGTATTGGCCAGATTCCTCTCAGTCTTCCGGAGCCATTCAAGAAGAGCTTGAATGGCGTCCTTAAACTGTCCAGAGAAGAGAAGGGCTTCCTCAAGCTTCCGTTGACGGTCAACGCTCTTGGCGCAGACGCGAGTCCATTTGTTCTTGAGCTCGTCGAGGAGGTCCTTTAGGACGGGCTCATCGGGCTTGGGTGCCTTATCCTTCAGGGCTTTGCCAGACTTCATAGTACTATCGTAGGTAGCTTGCTTCGCGCCCAAAGCCTTCTGAACCTCACGGTGCTTATTTAGACGTGACTTAATCCTCTCAGGATCATTGCCACCGAGGCCATCGGCAGCAACTTCGTCTAAGCTCTTTTCAGTATCATCCAGCCAACTGATGAGAGCAGACCAGGAATCATGGAACTCACGTGCCTCCTTGTAACCATGGTCGAGGGCACGCGTCCTCTCTGCTGACTTAGAAACGACGCGTTCCCAGCGGTGCTGCACGCTGATCAGCAGATTCTTTATTAATATGACGTCCTGTTTCTGCGAAAAGTATTTCAGATGTGTACCCTTTTTATCAAGGTTAAGCATGGTCTCACGGTGGACGCCCACATCCTTCTGGAAGGCCTTGTGTTCCTCGATCTGACCGAGAATGGTCTCCATGACGCGTGATACCGGTTTAAGGTTGGTCAGGATCTTCTCCGCGTTTGTCAACCAATCAACAAAGGCCTGGAGAGCATCGTGGAATTCCGTGGCTTCTCTCAGGGCGATTTCCAGCTTGATCTTCTTGTCACTTGCGCGACCAGTGACACTGTCCCAGCGTTGCTTCAGGCTACGTAGATTATGATTGAGTGAACCAGCACTTCCGGTACCAGCACGCTTTAAATATTCTTGGCCCTGTTGAAGAACTGTCTCGACCTTTGGACGATTTTGTTCAAGTTCATTGTAGACTTCCATGAAGCGCTCTAGCTGCTCGGATGCAGTTTCCGGAAGACCGCCTACAGGCTTTGAAGCGACAATGGTATTGTCCACGTCACCCAACCAAGACAGAAGATCTTGAATTTCTGCAGTGAAGGATTGAGCCTCCCGCAGCGCATCCTCGAGTTCGCGTTGTCGATCAGCTGCACGTTGCAGAAGATCTCGCCAGCGTCGATTCAGAGTACCCAATTTTTCGGCAGTGGTCGAGGCCTCTGCGCTTCCTTTGCCATCCTCTATGAGTTGTCTGCCAGCATCGTTGAGTGTATCGACGCTGGTCTGATGCGCCTGGATGTCGTTTACGAGCACCTTCAATTTAGCCAGCTCGACCTCAATCACCTGAGGATCACCAGCTACTGGCTTCAGTTCATCCAAAGTCTTGTCTGTCTTCTCAATCCAAACGAGTAATTCATCTAATGCGTGTTGGAACTGTCCAAGTCGCAGCAATGCGTTCTCCAGAAGTCTCTGTCTCTCGACAACGCCTCGCAATAATCCATCCCAGCGACGATTGACGGCGCCCAATGGTTCCTTAATAGCCGCTGCCTGCTCTGACGATGTCCTCTCCGTAAGTTCTGCCGCTTGCCTATCAAGCAACCACCGCACAAAATTAATACACAGTAATAGCATATAACTTCGTACAAAAATGATAAAATATAATAGCATCGTGCCGCCACTCGTTCTCCCCTCGAAGACTCAGCTCTCTGAAGTTTTACTCGTTATCACAGAACGAGCTAGCGAGAATAAGAGTAATCCAGGCAGGAGAGATTAGCTGATTGATTGTTTGAGTCAGTGTGACTCTTTTGGCCAAATTTGATACTCTCTAAGAGAGATCGAGGGAGCAAAAGGATGGGGCCGATGCCACGAAATGTTATGATCCAACTGCTACCTGCCAACTGGTAACTGCGAATTAAGCAACTGACCAATAATAAGGGACTAGCCTCGCTTCCTCGTACTCTACGTAATACGTAGCTGACAATACGAGTTGCATGCGCGATAGAGGACTAGGATGAGGAGGACGAAGGTGGAGACACACCTCGTCCGTTAGGAAAGTTATGCTTAGATGCCGCATGAGCGATGCGTAACATTGTGATACGACAGTCATTTATAATAATTGCACCATGTAGAAGCCATGCTCTCTAACTACTGCGACAACACGGAGAGGGCTCGACTTGCCTTGTCAGACTCCTGCACGTGTGTTCAGGACCCAGCATAGGAAAAAGAAAGACTGATTAGAATTTCATCATTAGATATTAGAACTCTGCGAGAAATTATCGTTCTTGAGATCTATCGTTGGTACTGCCAGTAAGGTTGATACTGGATGAAAGGGCCTATGTGATGAATGAATCTCGATTTACGATGATTACGGTGGTAACAAAGATGATGGTCATCATCGGGGGACAGCAAAAAAACAGAAGAGAAAAGATTACCTGTTAAGGGCTTCGACCTTGACCATGTGTGGATCGACCTCAGCCTTGAAGTTGGACAACTGTTTGATCTGCAGTTTGACCTCGTCGATGTCACTACCCAGAGCGCCCATGCCAGCGAACTTGTCCTCGGCCTCCTCGAGGAACTCGAGGAGGTTCTGCAAGGTCTCGTGGAACTCCATGGCTTTTTCCATTGCGTCGATGAGGTTCTCCTCTCGCCTTGCATACAAGGCCGTTACGTTGTCCCAGGCCTGATCCAGGTCCTCGATGTGCTTGCGAACTTCCGGTTTGTCTGGTTCGCCACAGAGACCCATCAGTTCGTGACCGGAAGCTCGCACTTGCTCCACGTCCGGTTTCGTCTGGTCGATTTCCTGACGGATTTCTTGCAGAGCGACTTGCTGTTGCTGAATAGCAGCTGGTTGAACTGCTGGCGGTGCCTGTCCTGCTAGAGCATCCTGAAGCTCCCGAAGTGTAGCCATTACACCGTTAAGTTCTGACCAGAACTTCTCGGCGCAGGCGAGGGTATCGTCCAGGGTAAGACCCCGGTCTGTGGTTGCTTTCTGTACCTCGGCCCATAGTTTATTCAGCTTATCAAGTTTCCTCTTAATGTCCTTTACTGCAGGATCTGCTCTGTTGCCGGCTTTGCTGATAACATCATCAGCAGCTTTCTTCACGGCCGCGTAGGCTTCAGAACGTTGAGCCAGGTCGTCTGCGAGAGCAGCGTTGTCTTCCATCTGGTCGCGTAGCCGAGGCGGATGAGCACTTACGGGTTCTGCGCCATTTACCTGATCAGCAGTTGAAGATAGAGCGCGGAGCATACCTTCAAGTTTATCAGAGAACTGTGAGGATTCCTGGAGGGCTTGTTCCAGTGCCTGTTGTCGAGCGCGTAGTTCAGCCCGAAGGGCAGCATATCTTGCGTTATCATTATCAAGAATTTCCTGCACCTTAGCAGCTTCCTCGTCGTTGCAGAGGCGTGCGAGAGCTTCGCCGGTCTTGTTGAGCTTCTCCACGAGAGGTTTGTGTTCGTTAATGCTCTGCATCAGGAGCTCGTTCTTATCCTGCTGGGTAACGATAAGGTCAGGGCGAAGAGCTGGCATTGGCAGCATGGCAATCTGTTGTTCAGCTTCCTCGAGCCAGCTGACGAGGCCCGCATGGGTGTCGCGTAGATGCTCTGCCAAAGGCAGTGCTTGCTCTAGGGCACCCAGTCGATCAGAAGACAGTCCTGATACGATTTCCATACTCTCACGTAGTTCTTCCATCTTATCTCGGATCGTTGAAGTATCCTCATGTTGGGCGTTCTCGCGAATGACCTTCTTGGCCGTAGAGATGACGTCGCGAACGCGGCCTTTCTGGCTAGAGATGTCATCGTTAAGAGCCTTGTGTTCCTTGAGCTGCACACGGATAATCTCAGGTTCACTGCTTGGTGGCTCTGCCTCTCGTAGCTGATTGTCAACTTCCCTGAACCAGTCAAGGAGTTCATCGATGTCACCGATCACTTCCAAAGAACGCTGCTTGCTTAGTTGGATTCTTTCAGCCTTGCGCTGAATTTGCTCGGCGATAGCGTCGAAACGTCGGTTGTCGCGACTGACGAGACCTTCGATCGTCGCGGCGCCTTCCCCAGGAGAAATCTGGCACAGTTGTGGACCGACGGTGTTGATTTTCTCCAAGACGGGACGGTACTCTGATATTTCCATTTCGAGACGGATGATCTCATCCTCGCGAGGTTCGGCAGATTGTAGAGCTGACTCAGCACCCTGCATCCAGTCCATGAGACGATTATGATTGTCATGGAATTGCTGAACCAGTGGTAGAGCTTCCTGAGCATGTTTAAGCAACTCGGAACCTCTTGTCACTAGGTCATTGAATCGTCTTTGCAACGAATCCAGCTTATCCTTTAGCTGTAATGCTTCATCGCTTGAGATGTGCTTCATCAACTCGAGCCCTGAATCCGTCGTAGAGTCAACCTCGGTCTGACGAGCGCTAACCTCTTCAGTCAAGTCGGCCAGATCTTCCATTTGTTGCAGAAGCCGTTCCGTATGTACGGCCAAGATTCGGTATTTGGAAAGTCGCACTTCCATGCTCTCCATCCATGCCTGCAGATCCTGGTAGCTTAGCACGAGGTGTCTTAGTCCTTGTCTCGAGCGTTGAAGAAGAGCTCCAAGAGCTTCAGAACGTTCAACAAGACTAGCGTATCTTTCAGCCGCATCCTGAAGTTTGTCAGCGAGGATTGCAGCTTCCTCCTCTCCTACCAATCCCATTAACTGACTGGCGATTTCTGTCAATTCACTAAAGTCGACCTTCTTCGAAAGGATATCGTCGTGAAGCACGTCGTGTTCAGAAACACGTTGCTGAATCTTTTCTTCATCGGTTGGTACCAGTTCCATATCCTTCACTCGTTTTTCAGTTCTGTCTAACCAAATAGCAAGAGGCAACAACTTCTCCTGGAATTCCTTCGCGACAGCCATTGCTTGTTCAAGCGCATCCATCCTCTCCGCGGCACCTTCGCTAAGTTTGTCAAATCTGCCCATAAGGTCCTTCAGTTGCTTCTCAATAGCTTTACGTTCCTTTGGCTCAGCACCAGCAGCAACTTCCTGTCCCATATTGAACAGGGAGGACATGGAATTCTGTCTATCCATCAGCATTTTACGCAGAAACTTTTGTTCCTGTAGCTGTGCCTTCACAACCTTATAGTCTGACGAGGGTGGTTTTTGGTTAGCAACCATCTCTTCGGTATCGGCCAACCACTTTTCCAAGCCGTCCAAGGCTTCCTGGAATTTGCCAGACTGAAGAAGTCCGACGTCCAACTTTCTGTCCCTCTCATTAAGCTGAAACAAAATTTCATTACGTATTTAATTTTTTTTTTTTTAAAGCAGTTACAAAGTTATATGGCTTCCAGTAAATACTCACTCTGTCCTTAAGATCGTTCCATTTCTCATTCATCTTGTCAAGATCCTTCTCAATACTTCCAGTGTTAACATCCCGCGCAGCACTTTGAACCAGTACCTGTCCCAGCCGATTGCATTCATCAACAGCATGACCAATTGGTTCAATCTTGCCAGTTTTCAGGGCTCTGAAGTCATCCTGCTGAGCTCTGATGGAGTCGACTTCCGAACCGACGGGTTTTAATTTTCTAATTTGGTCGTTCGCCTCCGCAATATCGTCCATCACGTCAGCATGTGCATGATAGAACTCTTGAAGTTTGTCCAAGGTATCATGTAGTTCGTCCTCCCTATTACGCGCGCGCTCATCAAGCTTTCCAAGATGACGTTTAAGTCCCTCAACTTGATCGCGAGTGGCTACGGCATCCGGAGCAAATCCAGAGTCGACGAGGCGTTCACCAGAGCTCACAGCGTCGGCCACGCCATCGGACAATTTATTCAACTTGTTTATCACCTTGCCCACGTCCTCCTGCTGTCCACGGACGGTCTTTACATCACGACCAGGAGCCTTCATCGAATCAAGTTCGTTCTCTACAGCAGCAAGATCCTGGCTTAGAACCTTTACTTGGTCATTGAATTGAGCCATTGCTGTGGCAGCACTCTGCAAATCGCTGCATCGATCGTCCAATTTCGCTTGGAGATCATCTATACGGTCAGTGACATTGTCAACCTCATCTTGCAGATGACTCGCATCCACACCCTGTTCACTGGCTTTGTGGACCAGATCGTTAGCCTGTTGACGTACAGCCTGCAGCGGCTTCTTTAGGCTTGATGTTTCTTCTCGTAGATTCTGCAAATATTACAGTCAAAATTGAATTACCATTGACATTAAGATTTTTCTCGCGTCAACGGATCAAGTTTGTTACCTTTATTCGGTCGAGAAGCTTGGGGTCCTTAGAGGCTCCACCAAGAGCATCGTGCGATGCCAATTTATCCTCGCACCGCTGCAAGCCGTGCTGCACATCACGCAGATTCTCGTTGAAGTCCGATAAGTGCCGAGCAGTGTCTTCCAGCGACTGGGTTCTTTCCAAAAGGTCTAAAATAGAATTAAGTTTGTTAGGATAATGTCATTTCCATGGTGATACTTGAGACCCTTACCATTGTTCAATTTATCCCATCTCGCCTTCATAGCTCCGAGTTCATTCTTAACGACTTCCTTATCGATGTCGCAAGCACTGAGGAAAGTCTCGCCTAGGGTCTTATTGTTCTCAAATTCACCAGAACGTTTCCATACTTCGTTCCTAAAGGACGAGAGTTCCTTGAGTTGCTTCTCTATGTCCTTGCGCTTGAAGGATGCCGGTTTCAGACCCTCCAACTTATCTTCTGCCTGGCGTAGCCATGGCAAGAAGACGTCCTGGGCACGGTAGTACTTCTTGCAGTGTTCTGCACAAGTTTGTAACTTTGTATGGCGGTCTAGGGTGTCCTTCTTTAGTCGGTCCCATTGAGACTGCATCTTGTCTAGATCTCGCTGGAGAGAACGGTTTTCTGCCTTCTGTGATCTTGCCAGAAGATCACGTCCCTTGTTTAGTAACATAATCACCTCGTGTTCTTTGGCCATTACGTTGCGATAGACAGGCTGAAAAAAAAATCGAAATTAAAAGATCAAAAAGTCGGGCATCGATATAATACTCCAGAACTTCAAAAATTGTCAAATCCTGTGCACTTACCTCATGATGGTCCAACTGTTGCTGCAGAATCTCACGATCGGCGGATACTAACAATTTCTCAGACATGTTACCCAGTTCGTCTGCGAGCCAACCTAGGGTCTTGCTGCAAGATGTTTCGAATTGACGTCCGTCACGGAGATTACCCTCAACCTCAGCCTTCCTGTGATCCAGTTTCTTTTGTAGATTGTTGTAAAGCTTTCCAACAGCTGCGAGTTTTCCCTGAATCTCAGATTTCGACGCAGGATCACTCAACACCTCGCACAATTGAGCGCCGGCAGCTTCTGCGTCGGCAAGAAGAGGTCTCTGACCTTCAAGCTGTCGCTCTAGGTTCTCGATTTTACGTAGCTGTTCTTCAGGATCTTTGTCAAGAGGAAGATCATCCAGATTGTCGGATATGCCTTGAAGAGCATCACGAAGTCGATTAAGACTGGCGTCAAATTCTCGACTAGTGTCGACAGCATCCCCAAGACTTTGGGCACGCTCGTCTAGGCGACCAAGTTGATCTGCCCATCGGTCAAGAACATTCTGAAGTTTGGCATTGATCTTCTGGCCATCAGGAGAGTTAACGTTAATTCTCGCCAGGACACTTTCACCAACTTCAGCCAAATGGTCAAGTTGTGGCTGTTGTGTTCTGAACTCTTCACGTAAGACCTGAACCTGCTGAACCTGACTGGCGACCATTCGTGGATCCGATGAAATGGGACCCAAAGCCCCGAGCATCCGCTCCTTAGCTCCTAACCAGGAATTCAAACCCTCGTGAGTATCGTGGAATTCACGCATATCTTCCAAGAATCTGATTCTATCCTTGCATCTGTCTGAAATGGATTTCCATCTACTAGACACATCTTCAAGTTCATCATTCAGGCGATCAACGCCGTCGGCTCCTTTCTTGCGACGCACAAGATCCCGACCCTGGGTCCTTGTACTGTCAAGTAGAGATTGCTTTTCGTACATTTCCTCGATAACGGTCTTGATTTGCTTGGCGGTCTTATCAGCATCTTCTTTGCTTGATGGAATCGTCTCCTTAGGTAGTTGTCTTTGTACCTGGAAGGATAAGATTTATAATCAATTCTTTCATAACTAAACCAGCGAGTACATTTCAGTAGATTAAATACAAACCTTGTCCAAGAACTGAGAGAGTGTTTTCAAGTTATCCAAGTGCTTCCTCAGCTCATCTTTGATGTTATCCAACTCGGTTTGCCTATCAGCCAACCTGACACCCAATAAACCATATCGATTATTTATCTCCGAAAGCTGTTGCTGAACAGGAGAGAGTTCTTCCAAATGGAATCCATCTTGACTAGAGCGTCGGCTGCTGAATCCACTGCTACCACCTGGAGACACTGGGCTTTGAACTGCATAGGATTTGGTGGGGGATGGCGAACGACCATCTTGTGATGTGCGACGTACTATTAAAAAATAAGGAAAAGAAAAATTATACGATGCCGATGAATAAAGGAAATTAGTCAGGATGGAGATGTGACTATCAAATGCAGAAAAGGAGACTGATGGCCATAGCTAGATAACAATTTAAAAAATGTAAACCATGATCAATGGAAGCGAGTTATAGTGAAATTCCTGCTTACGTGGACCGGTGACATTAGGCCTCTTCGTAGGACTCGCACTGCCACGTCGTCTGGTGGGACTCTCACCGCGTTCCTTGAGTAAACTATCGTAAGCGATACCAAGATCATTAACTTTATCCACCGTGACGCCATAGTCTCTGTATTCCTTTTGTATAGGCTTGAGTTCCTCAGCCTGCTTCTTGAGTTTGTCCAGGTCAACGGCAACTGGTTGCAGTCTCTGAACCTTGTTCTCACTTTTATTGAGCCAATCGATAACTTGATCGCGTAGCTTCTCATACGCATTAAGTTGCTCGGCACGTGACTTGCTGAGACGTTGCTTCTCGTCAAGGAGACTATTGAGCTCCTTCCATTGGCTCTCCAGAGCCTTGATTTTCTCTCTAATCGGAGCTGCGTCGGTGATATCCTTCTTTGAAAGTAGGGCCTTGCCATTACGAATGAGATCATCAAAGTTGGCATGTTGATCGTCACGTTTATGTACCAATTGAGCCATCCTGGTTTCGTATTCTGAGACGTCGAGTTTGGAAAGTTGCCTAGACTCAAGGGCATCCAGTATGTGCGAGTACCAGTTGTCGAACTTCGCTGTCTCGTTGCTGAATTCATTGAGTGCCTGTGAAACCTCATCAAGGAACTCGCCACGGCGAAGAGACTTGTCCATTAACTTTTCAAATCTACTCTGAACATCCTTAAGCTTGGCTTCAATGCGTTTGGCTACGCGCGCGTTACTGGAGTTGACCAAGAGATCCTGGGCGCTTGTGCTAATAGCATCTACACTCGCGCGGTGACTATCCAGGTCTGCTTGAAGCACACGCTGTTCGCGTTGTTGTTCTTCCAGTCGCTCCTTCTGCAAACTTGCCGGTCGTTGAAGATTTCTGGAAAAAGAAGAGAGAACAATTTATATTATTTACATTGAAGAAAAATTTATTGCGCTAGAAAGGCTTTTTTTGAATTTACTCACTTGAACTGACTCTCAGCGTTGTTGAGCCAATTGACTAGACCATCAAGAGCATCTTGGACTCCCTGACTTTGAACGAGAGCTGTATCGAGTTCCTGGCACTTGTCGGCCAGAGCATTGCCCAGTTGCCTGTACTTATCCTCAAGGGCTCTTACAGGTTCCTCGAGTTGATTCGTCTCGTTAGGTGTGAGTTGCCCATCGAGAGATCTTAGGAGGGCATCAACGCTAGACTTGGCATTGTCCACGAGTCTTTCATTCGCCAGGAATTCATTATTCATTGCCTTGGCTTTGCTGAGCTGATCTTCGACTTGTTTAGGTTCGGCCGCTACGGGCTCGGAGATGACTTTGTTCACCTTTGGTTCAACTTCCTTCAGCCAGGACTTGGCCTTATCGAGGGAATCGTGATAGTCACGTTGTCTGCCTCCAACTCCGGAGAGTCTGTCCGACAGAGCATTTGCTCTGGAGAGAAGATCCTTATAATGGGCAGTTACAATAGAAACTTCGCTGCGCACCGGTGAATCCTGAGCTGGCAATGGTTCCTTGTGGGGCAATCGTTGTGGCAGACCTGTTCTGAATTCATTCAAAACCTGGAGGTACTCCTTGCCCTCGTCAACAAACTTCTGTGCTGCCATCGTGATGAATCGCAGATCAGCCTGGTGAGCGATCACATCACTTACAAAGTCCCGGGTGGAATCTGAACTGCTGGTCAACTTCTTCAGGTCTGACAATGAACGTTCCTTATCCTCCAGGGTTCGTCTAGCCTTATCCAGCCACGAAGAGAACGACACAATCTCGTTTCTGGTTAAAGAAAACAATGACAATTAACGTTACCCTACTTGGCAGACGTTACAGCGAATACTTACTTGAACTTCGAGAGTTCATCTCGGGCTCCAGTGAGACGTCTTAGAAGACGTTCCGTACGGTCTGTGGCTCTCTCAAATCGTGTTTTCAACGAGCGTCCATTCTTCTCGAGGGTCGACACTTCGTCGCTCGAGAGGACGTCGCTTCCAGTGAGAACCACTTGGCGAACTTGATCCAGACACGAAGAGACTGGGCGACTGTGTGCCTCCAGATCCTCTTTCACTTGCTGAACAAAAATCAAAATCATTATATTAAAGCCTTTGTGTCTCACACGGTCAGAGCTTTTTTAACGGTGACAAACAGCTAACCTTCATCACGTTTATCTGATTTCTCAGTTCCTCGATATCCTCCTTGACGACATCCTGATTGGCCAGTTTGTCTTCTACAGCCGAGATCCATTGCAAGAGCTTGGTCAGGCTTTCATCACATAACTTGTACTTCTCCTCCACCGCTTGCTACAAGGACATACGATTAACTTGTGACAGCCAACTTTAATACCATTTAATAGTGCAAAAAAAAAGGCACGAGTTAGGAAATTGGTGGGAACAAGGGATACTGAGTCAAAGATCAGGTTGGGCAAGACGACTTGTCCATATCAGAGGCATTTCTAAATATATAAAATAAAACTAAAATCTATACTAAAATATATATACGTATAATAAGCCTATGGTAATGTCTCTCACTCATGCAAGCACGAACACACAAACGGAACATACATGATGACAGAGGTCAAAGGTCAAGATCAATTGGTACAATACATTGGCCTAGGATAGCTTTAATTTATCTGCTGGGACTGCGTACGCGTACGTACGTGCCTTTCTCTCGTATGCAGCCGAAAGCAAATGAGAACAGCGTCCAAGCTTTATGTGTGTAATGTGTAAAAAAAAAACCTCGGCACAAACTTTTCTCAAGCAAATAAATTAAAACGCACAATAATATGATAATGTGTGTGACAATGACAATAATCTGATACAAAGGGAGAACAGTACAAAGTATATGGATGAGATGGAATGACATAAAATAAAAATGAATAGGACAGGTAAGATAATGTGCCAAGATCAAGTCCAAATAAAAAAAGAGTACAAAAATAAAAAATGGCCATGTAGAGGGAGATAAGTGTGAAGAGGTGAGAGATAAAAAAAAACAAACAAACAAACAAACAAGAAACAAAAAGTTGATGAGGAAGAAGACGAGGAAGTCGAGGAAGAGAACAATAATACCTGCAAAAAAGTAAAAAGAGTTAAAAATGTATCAAAAACCGGAACGACGACGACGACGACGACAGGCGTCGAAATCATAGGAGTGAGTTACAGCGATTATACGTTAATGGATAAAACTCGTAGGTGCTGAAGGGAGGAACATTACGCATCGTGAAAACAAAATGGCTGCTCAACAATAATCAAAGCAAGCATTTAGGATTCTCTAAAGAGTGTCGACAATGAAAGTGATTAAAGTTGTGGCGACGCGTAACGCACCCCCCCATTAGAAGTAACTGATTGTGTGAAGGCTTATTACGTTATTAACGTTAATTCCGGGTCCCATAATGGCTGCCATGGTGGTCATGACACTATGAGAACACCGAGTTTAATTACCTTCTAAGGTAACTTAATTAATCGCCGGTTGAATTAGCGTTGCTGATGCGACAAGAACGACATTGGATTAATGATTAATTTAATTAAAGCGATGTCTATGGATCGTGGACGTGGTTATGGCGTGGAGCAATGTACCACGCATGAGTCTAGTCGGTTGTCTCTGTAGATTCGCAGACAACCTGGCGTTCAGTAGAGCCACGCGAGCCTAATGGTTAGTGTCGGATAGGTGGTCGTGGTCATGGCGGTCGTGATAGTGACGGTGACACTTGGTGATCTTTTGTTTTATTAGCCCCATGTTAAATGATAACAAGCACGGGGATGTGAGTGTCGTGTATCTTGGGTACGCTGTAAAAACGAGACAAAACATGATAAGCAAGCATAATCTAATTGTAAGTAAGAATGAATAGTGAAAGATGCTCTTGGGTATTTTCCATTCATTAAAATGCTTTGGCTCATGGCGAAATAAAGAAAAAAGAGGATTGGATTAGATTGAAGAGGATAAGGTCTTCGTGCGAAAGAAGATCTTGATGGTTTCGGAAGCATGGGTTGGCATTTTATAAATATTACCAAGACTATTGAATAGCTTCTTTCTGGTTACTCTAGCGACTTGCAATCTGATAAGGGTGGAAAAAGCCCGAAGAGCTTGGAAGTTAAGAAAACTCGAAGCACAGTGCACGAAAATATCCATATCCATTTCAGCAAGCTGATAAAGGATGACGAAAAAGTTATGGGTAACAGAGGTTGCAGGTTTAGGTTATGATAAAATTAACGTGCACGAGAGCGAGCATAAGAGGGAGTAATCAAAGGATGACTTACCCTGGCTTCAGCGGCGAGCACGTAACCCCGTTCCAAGGCCTTGACGAAGTCGAGACTCTTGCCGTTGGGGTCTTCGATAAACCTGCCTGCTATAGGATCTATCCTGGCTTCACTTATTGAGTCTAACAACGTAACGATTTTCCCAGTCACAGGATCCTTGATCACCGTGCTCGAGGGATCTATGAGTGCTGAATCTATAGCCTCTAGGAGGGTCAGACGCTTACGATCTAGGACGGAAGTAATCACGAAGGGGTCATAAAAACCGCCAGTGGTAGGATTGTAGAGACCGAATTGTAACGCCTCGATGAATGTTAGACCACGCTTGGGCGTTACCAGAAGGCCACTCTCGATTGCCTTTGGTAGGGTGTACAATTTTGAGCTTTGGGTGTCCAGGACACTACTCTTCTCGGCGTCCATCATGCCCTTGCGGAAAGCTTCTGCGAGCTTTACTAGCTTTCGTTTTTGCGTGTCCTTGATCAGGGCAGAATCGGGATCGACGATGCCGAGACTCACGGCTTCCTTCAGTGTGAGGACGGTGCCAGTCTTTGGTTCAGTGAACTTGCCAGTCTCCGGGGAGAGGAGACCCGTTTCCATAGCCTTTTCGAAGCTTACGGGTTCTTCCAAAAATACGAGGACGTCCTCGAAACGGATGCAACGCGTGTCTACTGTCTTTCCGCTTCGGAGCTCAATGCTTCCTCGCTTTGAGGGATCGACTACGCCTTCGTCTATTGCTCTTCTGACGCTGATGAAGCGGCCTGTGCGGGGATCTTTGAGAATTGCTGTCTCGGGATCGAGCAGCTCGTATCTAATGGCTTCTTCGAGGGTGCACTCGCGAACAGCTCGGGATTCTTTCGCACCATATGATTTTGAATCTGGTTCTGCATCTGCGTCCGAGACATTTACGACGACGTCCAGATCGACTCGGGTCAATGGTTTATCGATGCTGACGAGGAGTCCACGTTCTAGAGCTACGTCGATGTTGTAAGCTCGCTTACTCTTGGGGTCCAGGACCCGCCCTTTAGGAACGTCGATGGTCCCATCGGCGATACCTGCTTGCAGAGACTTGATACGTCCGCTGGTGGCATCTTTGAGTGCCGTTGTGTCAGGGTCCAGAAGACCCACGGCAAGAGCTTCCTCCAGATCGTGGTACTCGTTGAGGGAAGGATCGACAAACTTGCCACTGTCGCCGCGATACAAGGAACACCTGACAGCTTCTTCGATCGACAGTGGCTTTTTCGAAGGTACCACAAAGCCCCGTTTTCGTGCTTCTTGGATATCCATGACCTTTCCACTTTCAGGAACCACAAAGCTGTTCTTCGTGTCGTCGATAATACCTGCGGCAATGGCATCTGGCAATGAGATATATTTGTTAGTGGTAGGATTCTTCACTAGAGAGGACTGAGGATCGATGAGTTCATCGTTACAGGCTTCAGCCAGGGTGAATTTGCGGCCGGTCGAGGGATGCACAAAGCGGGAAGAATTACTTTCGTAGATGCCCATAAGGAGTGCTTCGTAAAGTCCAAAGCCGGCACTCTCGATATCAACGATAAGTCCAAGCTGAAGAGCATGTCCCAAGGACACTGAGCGGCTGGCACCTGGTTCGCGGAACAGACCTGAACGTCGGTCGATCACGGAGGCCCTGCACGTCTCGGCCAGGGAAAGAAGTCGTTCCGTGCGTTTGTCCCAATAACAGGCCAGGGTGGGACTGATGAGACACTTTCGCATTGCCTCGTGAAGGGTAACGGCCCGGCCCGTGCTGGGATCTGTGATTTTCCCAGTGCTTTCGTCGTAGAGGCCTTGGTGAATGGCACGTTGAAGGGACACTGGTGCCTTGTTGTCGACAATCAATCCGCTCTCGTATGCCTGACGCAGGGAGAGTGTAGCACCGGTCTCATCTCGTGGAGACGACGCATCCTTCCTGATTCGTCCAGTTTTTTCGTCGACGTAGCCGGCGCGGATTGCCTCCAATAATATCATCGTCTTCCAGAGTCCTGTTCTCGTGTCCCTCAGGGTAACCGATTCAGCGTCGATAAGATTACGCCGAATTGCTTCCAGGAAGCCAATTTGAGCGCCTGTCTGCGGGTCCAGGAAGGTGCCACTCGCCTCGTTCAGGATACCCTTTGTGAGAGCTTCACTGAGGCTCATTGGACGGCGAGTCTCAACCAGGAGTCCATGCTCGAAGGCTTCCCTGAAGTCCACAGGTTCCCCTCTGTCATTGGTAATAGTGCCGCTCTTAGGGTCGACAATGAATTCTCGGATCGCCCGATCGAAAGTGATGACCGTGTCGCCCTGGGGGTCGTGGGGATGACGCACGATCGCAGAACTAGGATCTATGACGCCCTTCTTAATCGCCCGGTCGGTCGGCAGTTTCTCCTGCGTCTCAGGAATGCTGAACTGTCCAGTCTTCGGATCGTAAAAGCCCTTAAAGACTGCTTCTGGCAAGGATATCTTTCGTTTAGCCGGCACGATCAGACCACGCTCCAAGGCATCGATAAGGCTGATAGGAATCCCAGTTGCAGGCTCGATGCCTGTTCCGGTCTTAGGATCGATCAATCCGTGTTTTATGGCTTCGCTCAGAGATATTATATCACCGGTTCGTGGGTCCTTCACGGAAGGACTGTCACGACTGATCAGACCCTTTTCGATCGCCTCCTCCAGGGTAAGTTTTTGGCCCTCGATAAGGAACATACCGCTATGTGGATCGTAACACTGATGGGCAAGGGCTTCCTGAAGGCTCCAGGGTTTTACAGTACTCAAGATGTATCCTTTTTCAAAAGCCACGTCAAGAGTCATGGAGTGCGGGTAGAGAAGAAGACCCTTCTCAAGGTCGACGAGTCTAGTTTTCTGAGCTTCCTCTAAAGGTAACACTCTCTCGCTCTTCTCGTCCTTAATGACAGTCGCGCTGCCGTCAACATAGCCAATAGCCAGTGCTCGCTTAAGAGTCAATTCCTCGCCGGTCATTGGATTCAGAACTAGACCAGTTCTGGGCGAGTAGTATTCCTGTACGATGACGTCGATGAGGGAAGGTACGAAACCGCTGGTTACTAGGAGACCTCGTTCTAGGGCAACGTCAAGGCTCAAAGACTCGCCAGCCCTGGTATCGCGTAAACGTCCAGTCTTGGAATCTAGGAGTTTTGCAGTGATGGCGTCGTCCAAGGAAAGGAAAGATCCTGCTGCAGCATCCTGGCACTCAGTGATGAACGCGTCGACGATGCCGCGTCGTACTGCCTCTTCGACGTCGACACGCTGTTTCGTTAGAGAATCCAGGATGCGTCCACTCTCGGGATCGTAGAGACCCTTTTTGACAAGTGCCTCCAGGGAAATAGGTTTCCTGAACCCAGGTACGACTAAACCTTTTACGAAAGCAACCCTGATGTCAATCTCCGTTCTCGTCTCGACGTTTACTATGACGCCACGCGCTAAATCTACAATACCATTCTCCAGCGCTTCCTGAAGTGGTACGATTTCATCGTTGGCAGGATTACGTATCCCAATGGAGTCTCCGTCGATCAAACCGCTCTCGACAGCTGCGGCAAACGTCAGGGTTTGCCCAGATCGTGGATCATGCAGAGCACCACTAGACGTCTCGTAAACGCCGGCTTCTACTGCTTCCTGTAACGTCAATGCCAGTGGGGCCTCCTCTTCCGCCACTTCCATCGTACGAATTGTCGGTGTTCGCGTTTCGCGTTGGTCGGTCACTGGGACCCCTTCTACTATCCAGCCGAGACGAATCGCCTCGAAGACGGGGATCTTCCTGCCAGTCTTGGGGTCGACCATGTTACCTAAATTGCGATCAACTAGGGGTTTCTCGATGGCCTCGCGCAGAGTTACGAATCTCTCAGATTTACTTGACAGATCCTTCACCAAGACATTGTCAGGATCAAATACACCTAGATCCAGGACAAACTGATGGAACGAGACAATCTCACCTGTCTCAGGATCAAGGAACTTATTTTGCTCCAAATCAAATGCTCCTCGTTCAGCAAGACTCTCACGGTTCAGTTCCTTGGTGACTGTTATCTTGTACCTTGGCGAAGTTTCCGTAACTATGTGAATCAATGTCCTATCAATCACCTCTACTGTATCACTCAACTCAATTCGTCTATTTTCCAAAGCTTCCTGGACCGTGTAGGGCATTTCCGTATCGCCCACCCGTATCTGGCAAGTCTTTGGTTCTATCAAGTTACCCTCAATGGCCGCACCCAGAGTTTTCTTTGTCGGCTCTTGTTCTTTCATTTCGACGTCTTCCTCCTCCTCTTGCTTATCATCGTATTCTGGAGACGGCCGCAGCTTCACCTGATCACTGTCAGTGACGCTTCTACTAACACTAATGCCAGTACTGGTGGTGATAATAGTGCTAGTGGTGGTGCTGGTACTGGTGCTGATAGTGGTACCAGAGGTGACAGTGGAACCTGGAGTCCGTACCACTGTATGCGATTGTGGTACTTCACTTATGGAAGTTGAGATGCTTGTTGTGTTCTCTTCATCGGATGAAGAACGCCTAGCTTTAATGGCGTCGAAAACAGCTTTCCCAGCAAGAACTGGAGCAGCGACAACAGCAAGAAGTCCTAATTTAGCAGCTTCAGCCACTGACATGGAAGATCCATCCTTATCTGTGATCTTACCAGTCTTTGGATTCAGGAGTCCTCTCTCCATAGCCTGTTTGGTTGTGATCGATTCAGCATTCTTGACATCGTACATTACAGAATCAGACTCTATCAATCCGACCTCCATTGCTTCACTTAAGTCATATGACTTTTGGGTATTAGGGTCCTTGAACTTGCCAGTCTTCTCGTCGTAGATACTCTCGGCTGCTTCCAGGACAGTTAGTGGACCAGTTTCGGGTATAGCAGTCACTGTGGACGGTGCTATTGAGGAAACTTCTGAATCAATCTGCGATGGTGATTGCGTTGATGGCTTGCCAGGTTGTTGCTGAGGAAGCTGGGTAGATTCGGAAGGTTGACTAGGTGCAAGCTGTTGTTGAGGCTTAGGAGCGGAAGTGTCCAGGATGCCATCCTCGATGGCTTTGGCAATTGGTATGACAGCGCCACTCTGAGGATCAGTGTAAGTACCAGCGCTCATGTCAACCAGTCCTCTTCTGACAGCGTCGCTGAAGGTCATCTTAATATCCCTCGTTGTGAATTCTTCTCTGATCTCGGACTCGTCCTTAACGATTCCTCTAACTTTCGCTTCCTCCATTGTGATTACTCGTCCTGTCTCAATTTCCTGGATCTGTGAAGCATTTAGTAGAACATATCCCGGGAGGAGTTCTATGGTCTTGGTGGTTATCGTGTGATAGGAGGTGACAGTCTCGGTGACCGCGGCGACGGTGCCTTCGTTTCCACTTACTTGCGGCTTTATTATAAGGAGACCAGATTCGACGGCTTCGGATACAGAGAGCAGCGTGCCCGTTGTTGGGTGCACGAACACGCCCTTATCGCTGTCAACGAGTCCGGACTCGAGAGCCTTTGTCACTTCAATGCTATCAGGTGCTGCTGGATACGGGAAGGCCATCAAGAAATCCTGATTGATGGCTTCCTCGATGGGTAAACGTTCGCCGGTTATTGGATGTTTCACCTCTTTGGCGTTAGTCTCAACGAGCCCCCGCTTTAGGGCTACAGGGAATGTCATGCCTGCTGGTGGAATTTCTCTCGGTGACTCGCCCCCTGGTACATCTGGCTCAAAGATGTCCCCACGTTCGACAGCCTCTGCAAGACCCAGACTTTCGCCGTTCCTTGTCCTGATCAGACATCTCTCGCCGTCGAGAACGTCATCGGCTATGGCTTTCTCTATGGTCACTAACCCATCCTGACCAGTATCCGTCAGAGTTGAGCGGAGCCGAGACAGAGGATCCACAATTTCACAGACAATCGCCTCATTGAGCGTAAGGTGCGCCCCAGTCTCTGGATGAATGATCTTTCCGTCACGCTTCTCCAGGAGTCCTTGTTTGTACAGTCCTGGAAGAGATAAACTTCGCGCAAGAGGTACCAGAAGAGTACCAGTCTCTGGATCCAGGATACCACGCTGAAGGGCTTCTTTGATATTGAGAATGTCTCCTCTTTGAGGATCGACTATCCTGCCCTTGTCCGGATCGACCTCCTCACTCTCGATGGCTTCACTAAGAGTTCTGGCTGTCCCATCATCCTTTGGTTCTTTATTTTGTTCAGGTGAAATCATCCGTGCAGTCTCGACATCAATGAGTCCGCTCTCCAAAGCCTCTTTCGTACGGACGATTCTCTTGCGCATCTTCTGGAGGACAATTGGTTTCGCTTGGCGATCCGGACTTCGGGAGAGTGACCTGGCCTGACCAATGGTCACCTTGTACTTTGGTTCTGTGGTAACGCGGGACCTGGTTCTTTCGGCCAGAGAAGGTCCATCGCCTTCGGAGAGATCGTCGATCTCTCGACTACTATCGACTATCTTAACTTTGACTTTGGTATCAGGAAGAGCAGCGAGATCTTGAAGTTCTTGGGAAGTGAGGAGACCCTTTTCGATAGCCTCACTAGCAGGGATCTCAAGCCCACTCTCTGGATCCTTCACAAGAACAGTAGTCGTGATGATCTCTGATCTGCTGACGAGACCACGCTCAATGGCAACTTCCCGGGGAATCTTTTCGCCAGTCTTAGGATCCTCGACCATGGCTCTTTTGACAGCTTCTACAGCAGCCGCTGTCGCGACTAGAGGCGCTCCTAGGACTGCCACCAGACCAAACTTGGCAGCGTCCGCAAGAGAAATTCGCCTACCGCTTCCATCTTTGTATTCGCCCGTCCTGGCATCGAGGACACCACGATTCAGAGCTTCATCGACATACATGTTCTTGCCTGTATGTGGATTCTTAACTTGGACGGATTCTGCTGGCAGCGCTCCTTCCTTGACAGCTGTCAGAAGATTTGCCGATTGACCACTCTCGGTGAATATGACAAGTGCTGTGGCTGGATCGTAGATTATGCCCTGATCTACCTGAACAGGGTCCATGAGACTGGAGCTCTCTTCAATGGCATATGAGCTCGCGATTTCAATTCGCTTCGATGGATTGTTAATATGTGTCAACTCTATCTTGTCGGGTTTTCCAGAAACCCTGGTGATCTGGAAGAGTCGTTGACGACTCGTACCTTCCGGACTCGTACTCGTCCTAGTCGTTTCTTCTTCCCTAGATTCCGTACTATCCATCGACGTGGTAGTCACAGTGGTGGTTGTCATAGTCGTCGTCTCGGTAATCTCACAACTTTCCAGGATCACCAAGTTCTTCGTAATGGCTTCTTTCATGGAGATCTTTTGCGGCTGTGTATAATGTCCAGTGGAATCCAATATCTTCTTTTTCAGACTTCGCAGCAGAGAGACTTTACGTCCGTTGCTAGGGTCGATAACACATGCCGAATTTGGATCAATAATCTGAAGTTTAACGCATTCCTCGAAGGAGACAAGTCTGTCCGTTCCTGGGATTATGAAGAGTCCAGTTACAGGATCGAAGAATCTTCGTTCTATAGTCTCTGCGAGGGTCCATCCATCGCGGGGTAACTCGAAAACTTTCCTTTCTGTAGATTCAACTGATTTCTCATTAGATTCGAAGGATTCAGTAATCTCACGTCTCTCGGTGATGGGCGAAGGTGTCCTGGACGCAGAGGAGCTTCGACCTGACTGTGGATGTTTAAGATCAGTGGGTGAGACACTGGAAGTGATAGTTACCGTGCTCCTGTTTCTCGTAGAATCTGGGATGTAGGTAGTGGACGTAGAGGGCGGAACCTCTCGGGTGGTAATAATGGCAGTGGTAATGCCAATAGCTTTTGGCGGAGAAGAATCCCTTGAAATGCTCGATCTACTGATCACACGAATTGGCGAACTCTCGATTATTTGACGCCTCCTGGAGGAAGATGACGCATCAGGTTCCCCAACCAGACCTTCCTGAATGGCTTCACGTAATGCTAGACAACGACCACTGTCGGGATCACGGAATTCTGCAGTCTCTTCGTTGAGATAACCTCGGGCAACAGCTTCTCCATAGGCGATCTTGTAGTCCCTGGTGATGGTTTCGCCAGTTTCAGTAACTGTTACGTAACGCTTTATTGTCTTTGTGAGGGTCTGCGTAGTGACGGTAATGTTTAGAAGACTCGCAAGCAGAGCAGCACCGTCGGGTGTCACGAGAGCACGCCTAATGGCTTCTTCAAGGGGTACTGGTCTCTTAGTTCTAGGATCAAGAAGCTGTCCAGATCTTGGATCCAGTACACCTAGCAGTACAGCTTCAAGGACACTCAGTTCACGTCCCTGGTCGGTTACTCCGATTCCACGGTTCAGCATTTCCAGTACCTCAGGACGTGCGTGTCCAAGTTCTGCAGCCTCATCCAGGGACACTGTCCTCCCGGTATTCGGGTCCACTACAAAGGATCCTCCAGATTTGGGACTGACCAAACCCTTGAGAAGCGCTGCGTTCAGACTTATGAATTCTCCGGATATTGGATCCTTGAAACCATCTATGTCAAAGATCGATTTTTGAGCGACGGATGTAAGGAGTCCGCGGTCGACTGCCTCCGAAATCGTGGATTCTTCGCCCGTTAGTGCGTCCCGGAACGTATTCGCAGGAGTTATGATGCCGCAAGCCAGAGCATCGTTCAAGGTAATGAGTTCACTCGTTCTGGTATCAGTAACTGATTTAACATGATCCGCATCGAGAACACCACGATCAATGGCCTCGAGAATTCCAAGTTTGGCACGATGTGCTGGACTCGCAATCTTTCCATGCTCGTCGATGATCTCCAAGTCACAGCAATCCTTCAGGGTCATGGGCTTCAAGATCAGCTGACGTCTCCTGGCCTCTTTCAAAGGAAGCTTTTCCAAAGATATTCCATGTATGTATCTTCCAGTTTTAGGGTTCAGGATGCCACGCTCGATGGCCACCGCGAGACTGACCTTCGTGTCATTCTTGGTGTCGACAATTTCGCGGACGTCTGGCAGGAGGATACCACGCGCGATAGCCTCGTCGAGACTGTACTCCTCGCCAGTGTTACGATCGGCCACACGACCGCTTCTCTCGTCGACGAGACCCTGACTGAGGGCATCGGCGAGAGCAAGGGCGCCACGTTTAATCTTGACGCTGGTGTCGATTCGCACGAGGAAACCGCGCGCGTACGCCTCCTCGATGCTCATACGTTCCCCGTCGGCACTGATAAAACGACCGCTTTCCGGATCGAGCAGACCACGTTTCATCGCATCAGCAACGCTAACTCCGTCGGCATCACCGTCGCCACCGCTCTCAAGAGGCTTCTCGTCCGATGGCGAGACGCCGAAATACGTTACCTTAGCTCTGTTGGCTTCCTGAGACTGATACGATTGGGACTGAGGGTGCGGAGGAACGGTCCTCTCCGCATCCAATAGCTCGCGCTGAATGGCCTCGAGGAGGGAAACACGTTGACCGTCCTCGGTGACGCCGCAAGGTCCTAAGAGTCTGTTCGCAAGTTTCGGATCAATCAAATTAGCCCTAGCTGCCTCCTCAATAGGCACGCTCACTTTACCATCCGCTGAGCTAGCTATCCTACCATTCCTGACGTCCAATATCCTCATACTTATAGCTTGCCCTACTGTCAAAATTTCTCCCGTAGCCGGGTCAACGATACCTCTAGCATCAACTATGTTCTCAGTTCCTATACCCTCCTCGGATCTGTGAACCCTCTTTAAGCTTCTGATCTCGCTAAACTGCATACTACTCCCGGACCACTGAGACCTTGAGGCCTCGTTGCTCCCGGACCGGCCGGCCGTCTCTCCGTTCCTCGTCCTGCTCTGACGTTCCTGAACATTCTGGCTATCACGTTGATCCTCATCCTGTCTTTCGTGCGGCCTCTTCAATGGAGACGACTCTCTCGATGACGCTTTCTGTTGCTCTTGCTGAAGAGTAGAGGACTTTGCCGTCAACTCGTTCGAAATTGTCGTCGCCGTTGACTCATGTCGTTCGGACGTGTACCTGTGCGAATGTACAATGTTAAGTAAATGTTTGGAACAAAGAAGGAACATCAAGAAGGAGGCAACGGCCAACGAAACGAATTAAGAGAAGTAAACTTACTGAGACTGTGTGTAATGGGTTGTCGTGGACGTGTAGCGTTCTTCGCTGGAGGTGCTCTCATAGATATTGAACTCGGTGCGGAAGGTTCGCAGAGGACGCTGCTCCTGGAGAGCACGCTGAAACAACCAGGTGAGGAGATACGTTAGCGTCAACATCTTCGGAAGGCATCGTCGCGATTGAAAAGCTTTTTTAATTCAACGAAACTACAAGGATCCTCCTCCAGACAATGAGCCGCACTAAACCGTGAATTTCCACTGTTTAATTTTGAGTCTTCTTGTCTCGTTATTCCATATCGCGTTGTCCTCCTCCTCCGTCACTATCAACCTTTCTTGCATAACAAACTATGCTTTTATACGTTGTCAAGCGTAACCGACTTTTTGCGGCATGTCCGAGCAGAGTCAAGGTTTTCTCGAAAGTTTCTGGCCTTTGCGCACAGCTTCCTCTTTATCTTCGGAACAAGACGAACAAGGGAAACGAAGGAAGTCAATGGAAGGAAACATCAGGAACAAGTAACAGCAGTCGACTAGCGCGTAAAACCGCTACAGAGAGACTGCGGCGAATGTCTGCTAAAGCATTCACCGGAAGTACTATAAATAATTTCTCCACGATTCCGTGAAGTGTTAGAGAGAAAGAGAGAGAGAGAGAGAGAGAGAGAGAGACGTAGGGGCATCACAGTATGACGGCGGCAGAAACGTCGACGTCGTCAGAGGCAGGGAACTCTCGTGGCCGTCAACATTTGTATATTTAGAGTAGGCGTCGAACAGAGCTCCTCCGTTCGCACATCTGCTCAAGTTCAGTTCAACGAGTGTTGCATCCGTGACGTTTATAATTGCCTGATCAGGATTATTAATCTTGAAAGCAAGTGAAAGAAAAAAAAAGGAAAAAAAAAAGGTGAATTGCGTCGCGAAAAGAAACTCCAGCGATGTGTCTTGCATAATTAAGATTTCGCAAAATGAAAGCAGAGCTCATCAACGCCACGACGTCATCCAGCTAACGAACCGGTCAATCAACGTCCCGACCAACCAGGCAACTAGCCCGTGTCCAACGACGAGGACCAACTTCAGGCAAAGCCATCGCCCCGCTCCAGGTAAAATATTTCGAATTCCTGAGAAAAGACGAAAGGCGAAAGAGAGTGAAGCGATTGCCAACGACACTTAATCGAGCGACCATGGTGGTGTCCTGTCTCGAGAGAAGTCGAAGCAGACCGACCTTCGGGCTGAGCGACTGTGGGCACCGTAGCCACTTTCAAATATTCCCCTTATTATCCAAGTTGGCCGAGTGAAAATAGTCCAGACCATTTGATAGAATGATCGGAGCTGCTTTTCACCTAGCTGTTCTCGAATAGCCGATGACATCATAGCCGACGAGGCTTGACAACCTGCTTGCCGCTACCGTGAACTTGATTGGAGGAGGCAGAGCTCTGGGCTATTGCGTCACGTCATCGGAGCACTGAGAATCGTTGCGACACACCGGCGCACCGAGGACGCTCTATTCCTAGCCGCTGCATTGGTCCATTAGAATGCCGACTAACGAAACGTTCAGGATTACCAATGAAATTAATTAAACGTGTCAGAGATCAGGAACGTCGCTACCAGCTATTCTGTCTATTTAAACCACGAAGCCAGAAGCGACAGACAAACGAAGCCACCTGGTACTCGATCCTGCAGTGGGAACTCTGGGAACAAGAATAACAGTGAGAGTGAAAATGAAACCGGGTTACCTGGCGAACAATCTTCCTCTTCTCGAGCTTCTGCATCTTGCTCTGGTTATCTCTTAACGAGAACCATTATATATTTCATTCATCGTCAACCGTCCAATCCTTCTAGTTCCGTAATCGCATAACAATTCGATCGGCCCTAACAGGAGTGACCGTTAGACGAGTAAGCCGGTACCGGCGAGTCGAGGATTCGACCGAATCGGAGCCACGAGCCGAGGATGCTGTCGCTTTCAATTAACGTAAATCTTAACCGAGGAGCGATAAACTTTATCTGAGAAACTTATGTCAATGAACGCTCTCAGCTGACACTGAGCGATACGAATTTGATGCACCAGAAAGCATTTTAATCTTCCTCCCTTATCACTCATCGAGTAATCGTCAATTTAACGTCGCACCAACAACATCTCTCTATCCAGCCGACACTCGGCGCAGTTCTTTGTAATCCCTCGAGGACTTCTCTCAGTGAAGAGGAATCGCGAGCCCAAGAAACGCGACAGTCGACAGTCGATTTTACAGCGACGACCGATTGAGCCAGACTGAGGCGCGAATCGGGAGCTGCGGTTCTCGCGACTGGCTCTACTGGCTGAACAGCCGCCGCGAAACGTCTTCCTTTCCTCTCTCTCTCTCTCTCTCTCTCTCGTGCTAACTCTTCCCCGGTCCTCACGTCCCTCTCGGCAAGCTTACTCGCACACGGCTGACTCCTTCGTGCAACCCACGCGTCAACCTCGCACCAACAGTAAGTACACTTGAACCGCTGGTAACGTATAACGTAGTCGCCTGTCATCGCGTTCCCGTAGCATCGACGCGTGCGCTTTGTGTACGTCAATTTGCAAGGATCCAAATAGAAGAGCACGTGTCGCCACGTGAGCACCCCGAGCACGCACGGTCTTCGGCACATCGAATGGGCTGAGTAATTGAGCAATAGTGCCGTTCGGCACGATGATGAAGGAAATTGAAATGAGCGTAGATATCCCAATAGCTATACTGGTACCTTTCGCACGACCACGAGCGGCGACAGGGAGGCGACGATCGTTTGCTCGGCCCACATGTCCGCGTACATTTATGGTAAGACGCGATGCTGTCTTAATGCGAATGCTGCCCACTTTAAATGCCCACACTACAAGACCCTATCCTTTTAAATGTCTCAAGTACGTTCGGCTACTCGAACGACAGTCGTCACCCTCGTGATCGCGATCCTGGATCCTGACGGGAAGTCGCGATACGATTGTAACACGTTTCGGTCGCAGTCCAGAAGGTCCGGAAGGTTTCGCTCCTGTTCGCTGGCGCCACCTTTTCCATTTCTACCGTATAGGTCGACACGTATAGATGCATACAACTTCATGCTCCGTTCATACTCCGTTCCCACGTCGCCGCGACTTTATTGATCTGGCGCGAGACGCGCGCGAAAAATACAAACTTCTCTACCTCGAGACAAGCCAAGAGCGAAAAGTATTCAAAATCCCTGGGATACCGTTGCCGCGTACTCTTTTTCTTTGAGGTCTATCTTATCAGCCGCTCTGGCCTTATCGCTATGCACGATCCCCCGGACGGGATTTGATAAGCCAACGCGCGATAAGCGCTATGTGCTTGCTATCTGCTGCTTATAATTCTAAGCGGTTAGTAATATTTTCAATTGTGTCACGGCGCAACTAGGCCACTGGCTGCTCATGGATATTCGCGCTTCGACAGCTCATCCAGTTTCACATTCGAGGAACGTTCGGCTGGAGGAGCTCTAAGATCACACGGTGAGCGAACACCTCGCCCCGGGGAAAAATGCGCCGGCGTTCGGTAAACATGGGATAACGTCACTTTGAGAAATACGTATGATGTCATTGGAAGGTTATGAATTGTTAGCTGTGAGCCACGAGCGACGTCATGGATATTCGGAGGCCAAGCCGAGTGCCGTGAGAGGTGCCAATCAAGCAGAAGAGCCGAACGTGCTTCGTGCTTCGTGCTTCGTGCACTGAAACTCGAGCGACGCTGATTGTCCGCGACCCGATCGTCCTCTTGGTCCGTAGCGACAACTCAAACGAACTTAGCTCGCAATTCATTCTATTAACGTCGACCGATCTTTCCTTGCAAAGGTTAAAACACTGATACTTAAAATACTGACTGGCCCAGATTCTTCGTAACGGAGGCTGATGTAGACGCGAACGTGGACTTCATTGCCAATAACGTCGCATCTTTTATGCATGCCTTAATGCGACCGCAGGAGCACGTTCTTGCTCCAGTAAAATTCCAGTTGAGGATTTTCAACGGGATGGTTAAATAAGTAAAGAGTTAAAGAATACTCGGACTCACTTGAAGAGAAATGTCCTCGGGGTAGAGCAGAAGAAGCTTCCGTATCCGTTCCTGCAGTAGTGTCAGGAGGTTCGTGTATTTTCTGTTGAGTGTGTCAAGTTGACGGGCGACGTCGTCGACGGTATTGACGGAATCTCTTCTTGGACGTTTGACCGAGGCGTCGAGCGACGGACAGACTTCCTCGAGCTGCTCCTTGAACGCCCTGAGCCTCTGCCCGTAGATCTAGGAGGTTCGGTTAGTCCGTTATGGTTAGTACATTAGATCAGGTGGACCGCGCTGCCGTTAGCCCCCCCCCCAAAAAGCATCGGACAGGACTTAATAGTTGAGAGTTGAGAAGTGAAGAATTGAAAGAGAAAAAAAAAAGAACAGGTGGCAGAGGAAGGAGCTTAGGAGAAATATAGGGGAAAATAGAGGATATAAGAAATATTAAGAAAATATCGCGGGACTATACTATTACTGTTATAATCCGCAAGCAGCGTTTGGCTTCCCAAAATTAACACCACCATTCAATCATGCTACTTCGTGTAATTTGAACTTTACGAGATTAGAGTCTCCGTTGACTGCCTTGTTCAATGAATTTCAATAGAATGAGCACGACGGTCTTTATTTTCTAGTGTTTCTGTTAGAGACTGGTCACTGGAGGATTAAGGATCCGTTAAAGTAGATATTAATTGCAAAGATAATGGGCGTTTACTAGAGAAGAAAAAGAGAACAAAAAAAAAGCTAAAATATAAGAAATTGATTTCGAGATACACAGTAGAATAAATGAGGACAATGAAAATCCTCGGCGTCAGACGAAATTCCTCATGCAAATCGTCTTGATAAAGACAGCTGGTTGCTGGCTGAAAGGCAGGGCTGGGAATTGAAATACAGGTGATGAACTATGAAACGCAACAGAATGACTGATGAGAATATACATGTGTTTTCTATACAGGATTATTCGTCTGAAGCATCAGTCAATTTTGACAGCTGTCATTGAATCTGATTTATCTTGATCAGTTAATAGTGAAAAATACTGAACAAGAAAATGCAAAGGAAGCTGTCAAAATCTAACTGATAAGTTTCAGCCGAATGGCTCTGTCTGTGAAACTAGAATGGTAGCGACAGGGACAAACAGGTAGCTAGAGATAGGTATAGAGACCAGAATGAGATGATGTTCCATCCGTAGAAAGCATTCATACCAGAGCAGACACACGCGCACACCCTGAGCTAAGGCCGTACAATATACATATATAGATATTTAACGCTATGTGGCTATAGATAACATGTAATGACAACCACGTAGAAATGGTAGCGGAAGTTCGCGTTACCTTGCCCTCGCGAATCAACCTTCCGCCAGTGACATTGAGCGCCTCGATGGCAGGGCCGCGTTCTACAGCCCTGTTTAGTAGATTCTGCCAACGTAAGGAAGATAAGAATTTAGCGGTGTTAATAGCTTCTTCGTTTGGGCGAAACGGACAACCACGTACCTTGGTAGTTTCGAGTTCCTGAGGTTTGTTACGAACAGGAGCAAAGTTTTCAAGTTTGCCGAATGCGTCGTCGACAAAGTCGGCTTCGTTCTGGTAAGCAGAGTTGTACTGCTGTGCCAAGGCGTAAGCCGCCTCAGCACCGCGAAGTCTGTCAACGAGTTGTCCGCAGACGTTGGTCCAGCGGGCGTTTAGCCGGTTAACCTCTGCGTCGAGACGATCCATGTCGCCGTGGGGTCCACGATGATTGGGTCTTGACTTTTCGACAAGTCGTCTTGCGTTGTGCGCGTCGTCGTTCAGTTGATCTATGAGGACCTGCTGCTGGGAAATGGCATTTTGCAGGACCATGAGATCTTCCAAGACATTCTGGAGAGCCTTGACATCGGATGGCAGTTCTCCGAAGGAGGCGAGCTTGATCTCGAACTCGGATATGGCCGCAGTGTTTTCTTCGAGGCCGGAGAGAACGATTTCCACGCACTTCAGCCGCTCGATGTAGAGATTGCTCACGTTCCAGAGATGATTCCACTTGCTCGTGATATTATCCAGCTTGTTCCTCATTGCTGGCGTCTTTAGGGTGATGCCACGGAAGGTTTGTTGTACCTGCTCGACGTCAGGAGCAAGTCGCTGCAGACTCTGTTCAAAGTCCTTATGTTCGAGGACAAGGTGTTCTAGACTGTCGAGGTCTCTGGGCAAGGGTGCAGCGATGCGCGAGTTCAAAACACGCTCGGCCTCCTCGAGAGCCTGTTGGAGCGAGGATACCTGGTCGTTGAAGATGCGACCAGCGTTCTTAGATTCCTCTTCGGCTCTGGCGCGCTTCTCGAAATCGTCAAACAGCCTGTTCACGTCGGCCATCTCGCGCTTCAATCTTCTCAGCTGAGGATCAGCCGGATCGCCCTCCGAGAGGAGCTTGTCGGCGTCCTCGTTGAGGGCCTTACGTATAGCAGTACGCTGATCCTGACCCATAGCCAAGAACTGGGGCAAGTCCCAACCCTTGACCACCTTGATGGTAGCAAAGATCATATTCTGCCGCAGACGCAGCTGTTTACGCTGCCAAAGGGCAACACTTCTGTCGTACTGTCGACGCAGTCGTTCTGCGCTGTCCAAAGCTTCCTTGTCTGGTGGCTGGAGAGCAAAACAGACGCCTGGCACCGGCGACTCGACGCCTTGAGAGTTCTTCACTCGCCACTTCACGCGACCTGAATTGTCGTAGAGAGTGCACTGCTCTCCCTTCTCGATTGAAATCTGCGCAAACCGCAAGGATAATTGATTAGTTTTAATCTACATTTTAAATCTAAGGCATCGTATAATAAGGATATAACAGGGTTAATACGTTGATTCACTCACGTTGACTTGCTTGTAACTGCAGATCGAGGTAACCTGAAGAGGCCTAGTGACGGGCTGTCGACGTTGTTTCATCGGGACGATCTCCTTGGCTCGTTCAACGAGTCGCTGTACGTGATCGTCATATCCGTTGAGCTCTTCCCTAAGTTCTTGCATGCCCTTGAGAAGACGCTCACCCTCATCAAGAGTGAAATCCGATTGGGAATAAACGCTGTTCAGGACTTCATCGCGCTTTGTAATCCACTGTTCCGCATGTTGAATGTCTTTGAAGAATTGCTGGCTTTGAGCAGCATGTTTTAGGTGGACTTCTAAGCAGAGGGTCAATTGAAGAAGCCAAGCCCACTGGCTCTGCATAGCCGACATATAGGCCTCAATGGTTTTAGCAGCCGGATGATGTTGAAGCACAAGTGCCTCGCCGCGATCCTGAACCGCCGAGAACTGAATCTCTCGCTTTTCCAGGTCACTCATCAACGACTGCTCGTGGACATCGGAAAATAAAGCAAAAAAAAACACAATTGAGAGACTAAAATTTGAAACGTGTTTCCCAGTGTACAATAAAAATATAACAAAAATTGAAACCACCAAAACGAAACTGTTAACAATAGATTCGTCATTACCTCTATTCCAGATCCATAGGTTTGCTTTGAGCAAGACATGAAATGAGACACTTTGTAGTGACTTAAGGACGATCGAGTAGGAAAAGAGAGTCAAAGATTGGAGACTCGAATATTAGAGGTTCGTAAGATGCCTTAAGTAAGGAATAAAAAATAGTATTCACCTCGTAGTACTGCTCGATGCTCTGAATATTAAGGTTCTTGTCACTCCAGTCGCGTGTTACCTCCGTCTCCTCCTTGGCATTGAGCCAAACAAGCTCACCGGTGGCTGACTGGATAAAATCGTGAAGTGTATCGAGATCCGAGAGTCGTTTGTTCGAAGTCACGAGAAGCTCAGTGTATAGTTTCTGCAGAGTACTGAGGTGTTGGCTGTACAGGGTCAGCTCCTCCCCGTGGAAGTTGTTCTTAGCCTGAACGCACTTATCGACCTTCGTGCGAAATTGCTCGACATTTTTGTGCTCACGCTGATGGATTTCCAACTCGTTCTGCACACCAGGTAGATCCGAACCGTAATCTGCCTCTTGGAATTGCTTCAACTTATTCTTGCACCAATCGATGCAGTCGTGCAGCGCTCGGAAATGAGGATTCGTGTCTACTAGTCGAGTTTCGTGGACGGTAGTACGGTGCTTCGTGACGACGCGCTCCTCTACGGGGAAGGAGACGGCCGATAGGGGCTGCACCAGCCGTTTGTGCAACAGAGAGCGCAGGGCTACCCATCGCTGATGCAGCTTTTGCACTCTGAGAAACGATAGATCAATCAAGAATAAAATAGAATACAAATAAAAGAGATAATAAAAGCTAAGAGACACGCACCTCTTGTGAAGCTCAGGAGCTTGACTGTATCTGCCCTCGGTGAGGGTGTGCACGTCGGTGAAGATGTTCTGAATCTGTATCTCCGTGTTGCGAATGTCTTGTTCCAGCAGGTCGACCGCGTGTTTTGCCTCCAGAGGATGGAGCCGATCAAGTCGGCGGGCCTCATCTTCAACGCGCCTTTCCAGTTCCTCCAGACGGTTGTCCGTTGACTTCATCTCACGGTGTACCTTCTCCGCGAGTCGCTGTAACCGTTCAAGCCTAGAAAGGAACGTTTGTCTCTGTTATTAATCTCATTCAGTGAGGAAGACGTTAAAGTTTATGTTGCAGAAAAGTACAGGCTAGACGTACCGTTTGATCTCATCGAGAATAGCCTGGTCACGTTCCTGGTGCAACATCATCAATCGGTTCCAATTCTTCTCGATAACATCGATATGAAGCTCAGGCTCCATGTCGACTTCGCCTACGGCTTCGAAGTACTTCTGAAGATCACGGAATATGTGCGCCAATCGCTGCTTGTCGCGATAGCGTGGCGGCACTTCCTCGTTCTTAAACTTGGCGCTGTCAGCAGCGAGCTTCTTCATCTCGATGAGGGTCGGCGGGAACGCCCGCTCCTGCATCAGAGCCATCTTCTCGCGTATCCAAAGATGCAACGAGGATGCGAGTTCACGATACTCGGCGGAACGACGCTGAGCTTCGGCATCGTACAGAGGATGAATTGCCGGTGGCTCCGGGAACACATCGTAAAGCGAAGAGATGTACGTTATCAGGGACTTCTCGTCCGGTTCAGGGGTATCCACATCTGCAATTTAAAATTTAACCTTTTAATCATTCTTATCAGTGACATGTGGAATCTGTTAAAGGACGGGGAAACGAGCCATGACGAAGGACCGACGAAATTTTTAATGATTCTACGGTGAACTGTAACTTCTGATCAGTCCAAGTTCGACCGGGTTCATCTTCCCTCTCTTCATTTTCATCGATGTTCCAGGATGACTGTCGTGTCGTGCCTTGCTGCGCCACTCTTCCATCCATTTCCAACTTGGCTAAGCTCGCGAAAGTCACGAATCCTGGTAAATCGTGCCGAGAGGCATGGAGAAGACGCCAGAGCGCTTCTCGTCTACATTCGCACCTACGACCTCCGACCTCTCCTCGGTCTTCACCTAGATTTACACACCCCCTCGTACAGTCCTTCCCTAACCCCGTCGCCCTGAGACTCTTTCAGCCAATGACGAGGTCATGCACAACGGAGACAGCGAGAAATGGCACGTTTGCTCGTATCAAAAATCTAAGCCAGGAATTTTACAGTTGGCCCGACTTCCAGTCGATCGACCGGATCTTCGTGCTCGCGTATTACTTGTCTCTCGGCAACGCGAACAAGTCGACGGGCATGAACTTTACGCGTTAGCTGTGCGAATGAATCGATTGCCGAAGAAATCCAATCGAGGAGAATGGATGCGCAGACTAATGCAGAGTGATGGAAAGTAGAGGTGGCGGACTGCAATGGCGTAAACACCGGTGGCTCCGAATTTCTCTTAATTCCTATATACCTTCGGGATCGAGAAGCCTCGTAACGCCGTACTCGCGCTCAGCGATGTGGAAGACCCGGTCGAGCCGTTCTCGGGGCTGACTGGAACGCGCGTTCCTCCAGTCGACGAGGTCCGGTCGATTCCGATGGAGAAGCGCACTGAAGGCAAGTCCGTCCCTCCAGGATCCCGTGAAGTCGGTCACTCGGACTCCTGGGTAACGTGCCGTAGATCGCCTGGCCCATCTTAACAATGCTTCGCGCGCTGTCACGTTGGGCTCCTGGCCTACGACTATGTCCGATATCTGAAACAGTACCAAAATGGCAGCCATTAATGCTCATCCTTAAACACCGTTAAAAACAAGACTCCAATAGTTTCAAGAAATCTTAAAAATATCCATCGATTATTAACAATCTCATGTAGATATTTTAACTTTATCTTTCGTCTCCTGTATTCTCATGCTGCTTGCGAACGCCAGATGCGTCGGATGCAGCCAGCTGCAGCAGCCCGGTCCGAGGACAAAGGCAAAACGTACATTTTGCTTGCACTCGCAATTTCAAAATTACATTTTACTACAAAAGCCGAGAAAGCTACGAGAGAGACGACATGGCGAGAATCGTCCAATTTAAATGTATAATCCAACATTCGGAAAACCACAGAGTCAAAGGTTTTCGGGCGATTTTCGGCTTTTCTTGACGTTAACGCCACGATGGCAATTAACGAAGTAATAAGATGCTATCTTATCGCACAATTACGGTCGGAATTTCATTGGGCAACTACCGCCAACTTACACAGTAAACACATAGAGAGATATCTATGCCGAGGATGAAGAAGCTAATTTTTATTCGAAAATCCTAGAATCAGCTGAAAGAGCACGATGCTTTCTTCTCGTTGCTCCTGACCCAAAATTGGAAGAAAAAGAAAAAGAAAAAGAAAAAACACAATTCTTCCATTTACACGGGGACGTTATAAATAAACTAAATGACGTAATGGAAATGTTTTTCCCAAGACCTAAAGAGACCTAATTGGAGATCTAATTGAAGCGACACAAAGGCCAGGAATACAAATGAGGATGTTTTTAATTTGAGCACCGTAGGTGCCACGACGCTATAGAAGCAAGCTGTAGAAGCTGACTCGTTACGGAAAGCGTCGCAAAGGACGCGCAACCACGCAAGTGCGTAAGTATGCGTAACCGATCGTTGTCATCGTCGTCGTTCTTACCATAAGAGTGAGGTATGACGTCACCCGGGAGTGAAGTAAGAATACGAGCGGCACTCGTGCCATGGAATTCGAACGGAGTGGGATCGGCGAAGCATTCGTTCGTTCGACAGAGCGAAATCCCCAATTATGGAAGGGTTACGGAAGGAGCGATATATATATATATATATATATACACGCAATAATACGTGTGCCGAGTACGCCGGCAACGGTCCCAAAGAAAAAGGAGAGTCGAAAGGAGACTCGGTGTTCCTAAAACCCTCAAGGTAAATAAGGCGAGGCTATCACGTGGGTGGCATCGGGAATCGTCCTCGAATTAGCATACACATATTCCCATTCTGTGGCAATGGCAATGATCAAACGCGATAGTCCAGTCCCACGCTCGATCGACGAATCGATTATCCAAATAGAAAATAAGGCGAGCAGTCAGTTTAAGTTGTTTACCCGAATGCGCCAGTCCTACGCGTCTCTGGAGGAATTCATACAGCAGGTTTGCCAAAGATCCAGCGATCCCAGGTAAACCATACGGAGCATCGGGTATGAGAATCTTGGAAGATATTTCCAGAGTGTATGATGAGCGACGATGAAAAAAGATCGAAAAATAAAAAAATATATACATAGACACAAGGATCTTGAGAGTTAAGAGATCGTAGGCGGCCAGCGTGTCCTTACCCGGACGGTTTTTGGCTTCGGTGAGGATGACTGTAGTCGGGTAGAAGGGCCAACGTAACGGCTGGCACCGTCCTGCAGTGACCTCTGCTGGGCCCGTTTGGTCAGATCCTCGGCGACGCTTTTCTCCTCGCCGCGTGTCAGAGTCGTCGTCTTCCTGACGATCCGCGTCACGATACGTCGCGTCCCGTTCTCGCCGCGTCGCGAGGTCTTGGTCGACTCGATCGACGAGCCTGTCGTGCGTGACCAATAATTCCTTTTCTTTTTTCATCTCGCTCAACCGAACCAGCCGAGCGCAGTTCGGCAGATCGAAAGGATTCGCCCCGAGTCGAACGGATCATCGATTTACGCTGGACCACAAGTTATCGAATGCTCGTATCGATACGGGCATCGTCGATTTCTTAACCGATAATTCAAAACATCACAGTGATAACGAAATCTCCTATCTTTTCCCTCTACAGTGTCTCTCCGATCCCCGAGGCGGTCTGATTTCCATCCAGCTTCAAAGGTCCAGATTCAAGACTCTGACGTAGACCCCCCCGAGGAAATGTGACTGGCAATAATCAATGACTGGATACGGATAATCTTATGGTTCACTGTAGAGAAACTCATTAAAGAGACTAGGAGGCACGCACTATGCGTGACCTACAGCCTACAGGGACCAAGGCCGCACCAGGTAGACAAATGCGTGTATTGAATCAGCTGTTTCCTATTTATTCCTACGAACGAAGTGGGAGCTACGATGAAATACCTGTACGCAGGAAAAAGCAGAGACAGCGAGGTGACTCAAGGGAATCTTATTGAAAGGCAAAAATGTCGAACGAGACGCAACGATAATCCAATAAACACGGGGCGAATCGTTTCGGGCGAACGAGTCGCGTGGTCGTACCTAGGACCTCGGTCGACAGTCGGCGCTTAGTGTAAATCGCCTGCAGATCACTCGCCGGATTTCCGGTGGGACCGGACGCGGCCACGTTGTCCCGGTCGTCGTCTTCGCGAGTACCCTGGACGAAGAGTCGTCCGCCGCGACTGAATCGGTACATGGACATGTCGAGTGGGCGCGCGGGGGCCTTCGTTCACTCTACGTATACGTATCTATGGCAGCTTGGGAAATTGCGCAGGGGGATTTTGTGAGTGAGGTCCAGGTGCGTAGCCGACGGTGATGCAAACGTCAATCCAAGAGACGCAACGTGCGGCAGGCTCATAATTGGCGCGCGGCTCGCACAGGCCGCCTGCGTCGACGTCGGCGTCGGCGTCGAACTCTCGAGTCCGTGGTGCGACTTGCCGATGAAAGGATCCGCTCTCGTTTGCCCGTCTGTTGCGCTCCGGGGAGCAAGGAGTTGCCAGGAGAAGGTTGCTCCGAATTTCCTAGAGCGTCACGAGCAACGGGCGGGAGCATTGGCACGGTGCTTGGTCCGCTGGTCCGCCATCGAAGCAGCAAACTCAACCGAAGGCACGCATGCTGTGCACGCACGTAGCCAAGTGCGCGCGTGCAGCGAACACAAACAGTACAGGAGCCGGTGGAAACGTTGATTCCTCAAATTCCAGATGATAGGCGACCGTTTACACGGTTGGGATCCCGATCGATGAGGGACCCGTGAAAAACTTAGACTAGTGGGGAAAGATACAAAAAACAAAAAAAACGAAAAAAAAAGAGAGAATTATTATGGAATTCAAAGCGAAACACGTCGGGCGTCCCGGCGCGATATCATTACGTAAAGAATAAATTTAATTCGCAAAGAGAAGGCGGCGGCGACAGAACAAATCGCGCGCGCGTGCGCTCCTTCCAGCGAGCGACCGAGCGACCGAGCGACCGAACGAGTCGGGCAGATATCCAGCGACTGCCGGCGTCGCGCCGCCGCCACCGAGACTCAACAATCCCCCCACCGCCCCCCCGGCCGTCATTCCGTCCTTCCTCGGCCTCCCGATCCACCTCCACCGCGCACCTTTAAACACCTTCGAACACCTTCCTAAGGCTGCGCTGACTACGCGGACTGCTCTGGCTGCCTTTCCATGGAGCGATGACGACAGTTGGCCGTTGGGAAGGAAGGAGAAGGCCCAGCTAAGCTGATTTCGATTGGTTTCATAGAGACGCGAGCGTCGGCAGAGATCGACGTCGACGCTCGTATCTAAGGATCGTGAAATTCATTCGCGAGATATCAAAAGAGTCTAGGAGGTCTCATGATGGAGGTATATCTCTCGAAGGTTGGAGGAAGAGCAGTAAGAGGCGGAGGTGAAGGAGGAAAAGGAAGCGTCGCCGTCGGAGCGAAGCGACGCCCGTGGGCGAGGGGCGAGGGGCGAGGACGATGGCGCTATGGAGCAGAGCCGTGACAGGTGCTTCCTGTGTGTTTCTCAATGAGCACCGCGGGAACTTTAGCGTGGCTCACATTCGAATGCGACGGTTCTCATTCTCAGTTGCCGGACTCGTTAGCCAAGTGATTAGACTCAGGCCCCACTCTTTTTCTCGTCGAATGACTCCACGCATTTCGCCACGAGGGAAGATCATTCAGGTAGAATAGAACGGATATGAAACAGGGCTTGGCGCGAACCGGTACTCCCGGCACAATTAGTGACCTGAAGTTAGCATCAACGAGACTGACAGCGTCACGCGCCAAGACGACAATTGACTTTCGAAGGTATTCGTATCCGTAAACACAAATAACGGCTGCTCCCGGATCCCGTTTACCCCGAGGGACACGGTGATTTCATGCAACGCTAACAAGAACGCACTGATCCATCACTCGACCGAGTCGATCGTACCTGCAACATTTCTCATCTTAACGATCATCTCGATTCTGACTGCCCCCCCCCCCCCCCT